CTCAGGCACATAGATTTTGTTTTTGAAATGAAAGAGCTCGTCTTTCCATAAATAGTTTTCATTGCCGTCAAGGCGCGCCTTTTCCTCTGGGGAGATGTCTTTCCTGAAGACTTCCAGGAGAGCGGAATCTTGCCCGATTCTAACATTGGCAACCCTTGATTGATCTATCAGGGTGACACCTTTGTTGTCATCTTCAATGCCGTTGGCATGATCCTCTCTTCTAGATAAAGCATCCGCTTTCCCCATTGAGCTTCCTGGCTTATGAATTAATTTATAATTGAACCTTGACAAGTACACCGCGTAGCGGGCTTGTCTCCGGTTCAGGTCTCGGGCCGTCATGAAGTACTCTAGGTTCTTATGATCGGTCCAAATTTCGAATTGGTGCCTAGCACCTTCTAAGTAGTGCCGCCAGTGCTCTAAAGCTCTAATGATAGCCAGCATCTCTTTGTCGTATATTTGATAGTTGCGCTCTGTAGGCGACAAACTATGCGATAAATAGGCACAAGGCCTCCAAAGATCATCAGGGCATTTGATTGATAGAACAGCCCCAGTGGCGAAGTCAGAAGAGTCGGTTTCTAGCCGGAACTCTTTGTCTAATTCAGGGAATGCCAATATGGGCGCTGTTGTAAATGCCTGTTTAAGCTTATCAAAAGCTTCCTGTTCTTTGGCGCCCCAATGCCAAACAAGGTCCTTTTTGGTGAGATCGTTCAACGGTCTCGTGATTTTTGCGAAGTCTTCAATAAACCTTCAGTAGAAATTACCTAAGCCTAGGAAGGCCCTAACTCCTTTGACGCGAGTAGGTTCTGGCCATCCCAAAATAGCTTGAACTTTCTCAGGGTTCATCCTGATTCCGTTCTGGCCTATGATCATACCGAGGAAGTCTACTTCCTTCACTTTAAAATTACATTTTTCGGGTTTAACGAATAAGTCCCGTTCCTGTAAGCGTCGAAGGACTTCTTGCACGATCCTGTCATGCTCAGCCTCATCGTCCAACTTTGTAAATATTAATAAATCGTCAATGTAAATGACGACACAGTTTTCCATATCCGCAAAGATCTCGTTCATCATGCTCTGGAAGGTCGCCGGTGAATTGGTCAACCCAAAGAACATAACAAGGGGTTCGAAAGATCCTCGGTGGCACGTGAATGTGGCCTTCCAAGCATCTTCCTCTTTGATTCATACATTGTTGTACCCCCATCTGAGATCCATCTTTGTCAGGATTTTGGCGCCAGCCAATTTGTCCACTAGCTGACTAATCAAAGGCAGAGGATACGCATTTTTAACCGTGTGCTCATTTACGTAACGATAGTCCATAATCATTCGCTTTTTACCATCCTTTTTAGGAATGAAGAACACCGGGGACGTCATAGGACTTTTGGAAGGTCTGATGTAACCCTTCCTAAGTTGTTCGTCTATGAAACTAGATACCTCGTCTCTTTCGGGAGCAGAGAGCGGTATCATGTGTCCCTTCCTTGGTTTGAAGGTGTCTTTCAAATCTATAGCATGGTCCCAAGGCTTAGCCTCTGGGAAGCGCTCTGATTTGTGTTTCAAAAAGACTTTCCAGAAGTCGTGGTACTCGGGAGGTACCAGCCTCTTAATCTCTTCCTCAGGTTTTACCTCATCATCGTCATCGTCGATCTTTTCTAAAGATCTGAGCTCGTAAATGTGACTAGCGTTTAACTTTTCGAGACGCTCATTGTGACGGACATGATTCGGTTTACCCAAGTTTACACATTCCTGGGGACAACGTGACAATGTGACAACCCCTGTCTGCCAGTTGATCTCAGGATTGTGTTTAAATAGCCAGGTCCAGCCTAAGATTAAATTAATCTTCCCTAGTTGGGTAGCCTCGGCAGTGACTCGTTCTCTGTGTCCTTGGTATTCGACCACAAAAGAACATTTGTGTGTAATACAGCCACCTGCGTTAAGCGTACCGTCAACGTTATAGACGGGAATAGATGTTTCTAATTTTACAAGGGGGAGTCCAATTTGCTCCGCCCAGACCTGATCTATGAAGATCCCGTTAGCGCCTGAATCAAGCAGTGCGCTCGTTGAGTGTACTTTGCCCCTGGCAAGGTTTTCCACGCCAACGTCTAAACGGATCTCCTTTTGGAATAAATACGTGCGCATCAACACACGCCTTGGGATTTCGGGAAAGGGTGGCTCCGAAGAAGAAGAAGAAGAGATCTTGAATGACACATGTTTTTCTATTTTTGTTTTACCAGAATCAAGCACCCTAGTGTTTGTCTCGCCGGGGCCACGCTCCAAGGGAGACGCTGGTGCAGTGGTAGTATCATAAATATTACAGTTACATTTCTTTATACAAGTACATACTTCTGATAACAAATTTAAAAACTTATTTACAAATTGGGGAGCCATCCCCGTCATTCCGTTATTGCTCGTGCAACACCCCGGAGCAGGGGCCACTTTGTTGTGGTTTACTTCATTTTTGCCAGGAGCTAAGGTACCCAAGTGACCTAAGCCCCGAATTCTTTTCCCTGAGCCTTCATTTCGTTGACCTGTTGGTCATAGAAGAAGGCCCGGATTTCGTCGTAAGAACGACCGGCCAAAGAGTTGAGCCGATCATCCGGTTTTTTGTTTTCTAGTTGGCGCACCTGGCGGCCTTTATTTTTTTGTTGGGCAGCCTGCGCCCCGTTTCTACAGTCTCGGGACATGTGTCCCTCTTGGCCGCAGTTGTAACAGTTGCCCTTGAATCTGCGCATTTGTCCGCCTTGGACCGCGCCGATATCCATAGGAGCACCCTGTCCTGGCTGCAGCCCGAACGGCTTGAACCCGTGAGAGTGATTATGATGTTGGTTTGATGACCCAGGGCGCCTCTGGGGTGTGTTGTTTTGTTTGGTGGACCCGCCACCTTGGTGCATGGTGTAGAGCTCTATGGCTCTACCGACTCGTCGTACTTCCTCAGCCGCCAGGGCCAAGTTGTCACTTTGTGTATCCTGCAGATAGATCTGTTCTGCAATGCGAGGGTTCACATTGCGTTCTAGCAGTTCCACTGCGTGTTCATTGCCAAGACCCCCTTGGATTGAGAGGGCCAGGAACCGGGTTACGAAATCATCCGTCCTCATGTTTCCTTGTTTGAAGGAACGGATTTGCTGACGCGCCCAGTCACGCTCAGCTTGCGGTTTGAAATATTTTTCGATCTCTGTTTTGAGATCGTCCCAGGTGGGCCACACACCCGCGGTGTAGCATTCCTGGAGTCTTACTTGGGCGTATCGACCCGCCACAGGTCCTTTTAGGCGAGATAGCACCGCAGTGGCTACCTCAAAATCGTCGGCGAAAGCGTCCCAGTTCGCCTTGACCCAAATCTGGAGCTTGATCCACCATTCGGCAAATCGCGCTCTGTCTCCTTCGAAGGCGCCAGGGTCAGCGACGACTTCGACTTTCTTATTAAACCTTTTCTCTACCGAGGGGGTTGCTACAGGGGGGTTGGCCTGTATCTCGGCGAGCTGCGAGGTTAATTCAGCTATCTGCACACGCATTGCGTGCAGTAGCGCATTCATATCTTGGGGTTGCGACGACATGTCGACTTGTTCTCTTTGGGTAACGTAAAAATAGGTAACTGGGGGTCCCCGCTTGCTATCTGCGGATCAACCTCTTCCCAGCTGAGTATCGGATCTCAATCTCCGACTACCCACACTATAGTATTTGAAAATGTATATAAAATGTAAACGTAATAAACCCTGGTCCGAACGGTTGTCAGGGGGTGGTCCGCTTGTTAAGCTGTCAACCCTTCTCCAGACTGGCGGAGGCAAGTGCCCGGCCTGGTCAGAGGTATTCAAAAAAGAAGTTATGTATTTTTATTCTAATCAACAGTGGTTCCACACCAGCTGCTGAGCTAAGTACTCCCCTTAACGCTGGGGGCCGCGTATCACAGGTTTTGGGTTCTTCTCCCAAAGCACTACAAGGCCGTCGCTAGGAGCGCACCTATTTGCTATACGGGATATTCCTAACCGCTAACCAATCTCCTTCACCCTGGAGTCCGGGTGCCCAGTGGGACTTTTTGCACAAACGTGCGAGAGAGTAGAAAGAGCGAGTCCTAATGTAACAACCAAGAGTTAGTTACTCTGGCGCACACAAGAACACACTATAAAGAAGATGTTGAGGGAGTGGTTACCCCTTAAGCTGCAGAGAGTTTGTTGGTATACAACAGGAGGACTCGCTAAGGAGTCTCCTGGATCTATTGGGGTATATATACTACTACAGGTTGTTTGTACATGTGTACTATACAGTTGATGAAGGCAGTGGCTGATGATGTCATAGGGTCTAGCCCGTATGGCCAGCTCCACTGCGTGAGAGAGTTAAGTCTAAAAGTAAAAGAAAGGCAACGCGGCGCGAGAAAGGGAAATGCCGCGTGGTACTTAAAGTATAAAGTTAAAGCGGAGAATAAAAAGGAAAGGAGATGTCCGGAAATTGTGTTATCGTAACACCAAGCATCTTCTTCTTTGATTCATACATTATTGTACCCCCATCGGAGATCCATCTTTGTTAAAATCTTGGCACCAGCCAACTTGTCTACTAGCTGACTAATCAAATGCAGTGGATACACATTTTTAACCATGTACTCATTTAAGTAATGATAGTCTGTAATCATGTATCACAACACAATGGGATCCGCACCCGTGTACAGTGATTCTGGACCTTCTGGGCATGCAACCAATCAGTATGCTTTCCAAGTACGCCTTGGTAGCTTAGTTGGTAAAGCACCAGACCATGAAAGCTGGAGTCCCAGGTTCAAGCCCTGGCCAATGCATGTTTTCTCATACTATAAACAAATGTCATGATTTGTCATCATGTGCTTCTTATCATCCTTTTTAGGAATGAAGAACACCAGGGATGTCATGAGTTCTGCAACTGCTATACGTACTGCAGAGTCCGATGGCGCCAAAATTCTACGCAAAAATCTAACCACAATTCTTCAAAGGTATATGGGACAGGTAATGTCGTACCAGAACCGGATTCCCGATGGCGTGATTTACAAGATGTTCTCAAACTTCATCATACCTCTAGTAGTAGTGGAGGTCAAGCGTGCCTTAGGAGAAGGGGGATGTGATGCACTTACTCAGGCATCATATTCTGTTCTCAACATGTGGAACGAAACCGCGGTATGTCGTCTTATTTTATTACACTTTTTATAAGAATCTCATTGGTAGAATAGCTATTACCTATTGCAGAGAAAATTTGCTGTCCGACTTTTGTGATTGCTGGTGGACGTCCTTATCTTTCTGTTCTAGGTGTTGTTTGGACCGATAGATTCATTGTCCAACGGCTTACTGATATTATGTGGCTTGGTGAGGCGAGAACATATGAAGATGGGCATCTTTATCAGCTCGCACGGACCTTTACAGCTCTCCGCCACTGCCAGAACTCCCTCAATACGTTCTACGACGATCTTCTCATGCATGATGATCTTGTGCTGATTCCCAATGAACCACACCCCCGCTACTTCCCGTACCCTACCTCGTTCATTGAGCATGGTTCCAACTCCACCACATCTTTCAAGTATCTCGACGTCATGGAGGATGACTCGACGAACGTCGCTTTCCAAGCCGAAACTATCTCGGATCCGCCGAAGAAGGTGATTGTCAAATTTGTGGATCGGTATGGCGTCCTTGCGCATACATGTTTAGCAGATTATGGCATGGCTCCAAATCTTCTATATTGCGGCCTCCTCAACGGTAAAGACGACTGTAGAAATGTCAACAATGCATGCGACACCAATAAATGCAGCGGTCTGTATGTAGGTCCGCTTAGGATGGTGGTGATGGACTTCATCGAAGGGGAGAATGCCCAGAAAACGTCTCCTGCCGCCTGGCCATTGGATACTCGGGCCCAGATCAAGGAGGCACTCGCCAATCTTCACCGTAAAGGTCTTGTATTCGGAGACTTGCGTCCACCCAACATCATGTTTACTAGATCCAAGGTGATCCTGATAGACTTTGATTGGGCAGGTCCGGAGAACCAGGTGCGGTATCCCAAGGGTCTATCTAGTCATGTGCAATGGCCAGAGGGTGCCAGAGATTTCCAGTTGATTACCCGGGTACATGATATGGCTATGCTTGATGCATATTTCCCCGATCGCACTTAGTCTTCTATCAGACCTTCCGAGGATTGCACTACCAAACTGTGTGGCCAAACTTCCGATTTCCTATTCATTTCGTTGGTTTGGGAGAACGCAGGCCGGCTGCTGGCCTAGTTAGTGTTTACTTTATTGTTTTCAACGTTTTTATTTTGTATCAGAGAAAATGTAACTACGACTTACTGAATCATAATTAGCTGGGGGGGTCGTTAGATCCCGCGCATCATCTGTGAGCTTCTTTCCTTTGCCTACAACTACGGTATTCAAGAGCAACGCTTGAACTGGTGCTCGGGGTATCTTGTGAAGAATATAATCATCGGCCCTGCACAAGAGGTTATCAAAATCATTTTAATGGGGATGCTACCCAAGCCATCCTGGTCGACGCACTTGGAGGATGTAGCTGACGTATACTAGATACCCATCCCAAATCTGGACAAATACTGTGTTAATAATATTCCACGAAATTTACCATTTACTGAGGGATGTTCAAATTTTCGAGTCATGTGACTCGGATGTGTTTTATTTCAATCTTATTTTCGTATATCATCTCAACATCAAAGCACTGGGATAGAGGGGATGTACAGCGTGTTTCAAGGTTGAGGACTTCAGGTAGGTAACACAATGAATATGCATGAGTCTAACTACTTCGTTAAATATGTTGTACATCCAGATTACACATTCACCTCGCCGAGGAAGGAATGGTTTTTGCACTGGAGCTATCTAGCTACTTGCCATACATGATAATGTATTTTGGAATAATTGCTTCCGACTCACGTACAAACACACGATCGCTATCCAAGAACTGATATTATTTATCAGACAGATGACGCAGAAGGCTTGCTCGTGAAAGATACGTACGGGCAGTCCGACTCTCTTTGGCAGAATAACTTCACAAACAATCATAACTCGAAAGGGAGAAGATGTGCAAGACGTTGCGAATTGGTCCGCCAGGGATGGCCTTTTGAACGAGTACAATCCTTCACCGTGCCTACAAAATATATATCTCGGTTAATCATGCGTGCGAGTTGGTTGGGACAACTTACCTGCCCTTGTTATATGGGACGGAAAATGCCACACCCTTAAATGCAGATCTGGCGATGTTGCAAATACCGCAGGACCCCCAGTCACACAATACTGGGCCTTTCGTGCCCATATCGCAAATGCACTGGGACGCGTGAAATGTGCGGATCTCTTGCATATTATTCGCTGACTCTAACTTCTGTCTAGCAGGTTTCTTTTGAACCATTGACTTCCCTAGACTTTGATTAATCTTACCGATATGCGACTTGTTTCGCAGCTACATCACCTCCATACCTAATCTCGTAGATCTTCTTCACCCATGGGTATTGGGGCAAGTCACTCCCCCAATCTCTAGTCACTGGCATGCCATTATGAGTAGCTGTCAAATGGAATGAACATTCTCTCTTACAGCTTTTAAATTCAGCACTTCTGTTACTGATCTCCGAAAGTCGAGGCTCATTATTAGGACGAGTTCTCTGTGCACACTCAGCGCAGAGTTTGCCTGAAGTCTGGGGTAATAACTTGCACTGGATGCATCCAGGAACTTGGCCAATTCTAACCCCTTGCCTGGAAAGTGTGCGTTTCATTTGAAGTTTATCACTATGCTCGCGTGACTTACTTTGCATGTTCTACAGAACAAAAGCCTCCAAGCAATGTCGTTCCCGTCTCACGGCATCCTTGTAATAAACATGGCGATACATTGTAGCCTGCGCGATTTGCACAAGTCCTTCCACAGTATGGGTGTCGAAATTGAAGCTCATCAACGTATCTTGGCCTTGTCTTACAGACCTGCATCGATGAGGCATCAAATTACTGCGAGCAGGACTGGAGGGCTCTCCTGAATCACTCACCACACACAAGTCGTCCTCTTGTCGACGGAAAGGCCAGAGATTGTTCATGATGACAGTGTATGTGATAGTCTCAGTTGCACGGTGGCGAGACGCCCCCTCGATGGCGGTACTACACGCTCGGTCCACGTGTTACGCCGATTTCTCGGTAAAGGACATATACCTTTCTTGAACTGCTGACATCGATCTGTGCATGTATCTAAAGTTCCCGGATAAGAAGACCGCTAAAACACGAGGCCCGAACACGTTCGAAGCGCGCAGGACACTAGCTGTGCATTAACTGGGCGTGTTATAGGCCTATAAATTGCGTTGGTAGCATGTGCTTAGATATAACTTGTACCTTCGCCCTGTCATAAATCAGACACAAGAAATATCTTAGAGTATCAAATGGCTGGAAAATGTGAGGTGAGTACTCTGTTCTATCAGCTTAGTTCGATCTAAATGCTCCTATATATAGTATTGCCATTCTCGACCGAAGTATGTCGAAGGAGCAAAGGTGCACCCATACTGCGGCAAAACCTGTGCCGCCAAAGCCAAGAACTCGTCCAGCACAGATGACAACTGCGAAGTTAGGGGAATTCCTCCGTTCTCTTTTCCAATGTAACGTATGTTGTGTTCTGGTCAGTTTTGTCATGTAAAACCGAAATGGGGAAGTCATCGTTATTGTGGAAAGACATGTGCTAGAAAGGCTCACGCTTCTGGTGGAAGTGAGTCAATCATCACAATGCTGGCAACACCAATACTCATCTTCTCAACGTTAAAAACGCTGTGGAAGATGGACCCGCGGCTTCATTTGATTCGAGCACGGCGTGTCTCATGTGTAAGAAAGCCCCAAAACAAGGAAAACGTAACTTCTGCTCGAAGGAGTGTTCCACATTGGCGCAGGACCAGGGACCGTTACTGTTGGAAGTACCAGAAGGCCACGTCACACACAAGAGTGGTAGGTTCTTTACGATGACAAGGATTGATGCATTGGGCGTTCTAATACTGGAATAGTGGCAGATCAACTGTATGCTTCCTGGAAGCACACAGACCGTCCTTCTCCTAAAGTGAAGAAAATATACAAAATAGTGGAAACATCCCAGATCAGAGCAAATTACGAAACCTACAAGTGCGTTTTTTACGTCGCTTGATCCTGACTGAACAAGCCAAACAATGGTAACGTCCAGGGCCAGTGTGGAACAACAAGGCAAATTTCAGGCTTCAGGAAGGTCTGCAGGAAATGAATGTCGCCGCTGGCATGGTGCTCGACGTAATTGCGGTATTGGGGAATCTGGTCAGACACAGCTGTGTTCAGGACAAAATTGTCCTGTTTGCAGCATCATCCGAACGTCGTTCGACTTGAAGTATTCTGGAAACAACTTTGGTTGGCTGAGGCGAGTGTAGTAATTTTCGTGAAATATACTAACCATTAACACAGTATTTGCCCAGATTTGGGTTGGGTATCTATACGTCAGCTACATCCTCCAAGTACGTTGACCTGGATGACTTGGCTAGCATTCCCAGTAAAATAATTTTTTGTGCAGGGCCGATGATTATATTCTTCCCAAGATACCCCGAGCACCGGTTCGAGCCTTGCTCTTGAATACCGTAGTTGTAGGCAAAGGAAAGAAGCTCACAGATGATGCGCGGGATCTAACGGCCCCCCCTGCTGGTTATGATTCAGTAAGTCATAGTTCAATGGACTGTCCCAGTTCAGCATTCTAATCAAAGAATAGATTCTCGGCGAACCGAAACCAGGTAACTTATCATATTCTTATTCGCATAATCTACACTATCTTGACGCCTCCGCTAGGTAACCTTAACTGGGACGAAACCGTAGTATATTCCAATGATGCTATAAGGCCTTCTTTCCTTGTTGTTTACGACGGGTAGAAACATAGCGCCCAATGTTCCCCACAGGGTCTCCTGTAGAATACATTTCACCCCTAACCCATCAAATGGATGTAGTTGTGAGCACAATGGGCCTTAACAAATTGTATCCAAGATAACACCTCGTGTTCATCCTCATGTTATGCTGTTATTTATCTCCTTCCAACTGTGATTGCAATATCAGACCTGTCAAGAGTGGAATGGAAGATTGGTCTTCCGGAGATCCGTTTGAGCCCTCTATTTGCAGATGTATGATAGGAAAAATGATTCGCAATATCCGAAGCTACGGTCGTTCTCAGCGTCAATTTAGCAAACCCCTGAGTCCAGGTCAAAACCTAATCCGTGTCTGATCAATTGTATTTCACGGCGGTTAGTCGTACCTTTAAGACCTTCGAGATATGGAAACGAATACAGTACATTGATTGATGGTAGTTATGTTAATGAAAGTTATCTCAACTCCGAGAGAGCATCGAAAAATACGAGCTGGGATATTACAATTTCTTCCTATTTTCTTGCCAGCGCCTATTCCCAATGTCCTCTGGATCTTCCACCACCTCACCTGCATATCGTTTGACTTCCTCCTCAGATAGCTTAAATCTCAACCGCTCCAATGCCTTTCCTAGCTGATTTTCGCCCATACCGTTCTTGCCATTTCCCCAATAAGCATCATAAGGAGAATCCTACAATTATTTTAGAATTCCCGTCCCTTCGTTTTACCAAGCGTAACTCACCTCTATCAGTTCAGCGTTGCCAGTAGACAGAAGCTCGTCCCTCAGATGCTTATGTTGGCGGAACTTGTGTGAGAGTGCTATATCCATCTGGTCATAAATCGTGTTAGTACAGTAACCCAAAGGGATTCATGCGTTGCAATTGTACAGTACCATTTCATTTCTGATTTGCAACCAATCAGAGCGAACTTGATCGTTATACCGATGCGTTTCGTTGAAAGCGTCTCTCGGATCATCAGAAGACTTTCTAATATGTTCTGCAAGTTTAGGATTGTCTCTAAGGAACTATGCGTCGAGAAGTTTTATCAGTGAATAACCTAACTTTTCTCCACAACTGAAGAGGAGAAGACAAATTCTCACCTTGAGCGACTGAAAGAGATGTTCACTGGTTGGATAGATCTTCCCCTCGTGTTTGATTGGACTGGGATAGAAATTGGTGAAAGTGTAGTGTGGATCCTCTCTGTTATAGAAAAATATACGTGGACGGCGAAGATGGCTATCTTTCGATGATCCTGATCCAGGCTCAAGGCGGTGCGTATAGGGTTTTCCTGCGACCACGTCTTCTACGCCACCATGGTGTTTATTCCAACCGATACTGTACAATTGATCGTCATTCAAAGAGTTATTGTTACAGAGCCCTCCAAATGAGAGGGAGCAAAAAAAGGTCGAGCAAAAAAAAATAGCCTTACTTGTCCCTCGGGTTGAGACGCATGGCACGATTAGCCTCGTTTGCGCCCTTTGTGCCCTCTCCCACCCCCTTCGCCCCCTTGGCAGCTTCCTCTTCACGTAAAGTCGTCCTCAGACGCTCAAGTGCCTTTCCAAGCTGGTTTTCGCCAGTTCCATCCCGGCCAATTCCCCAATAAGCATCATAAGGAGAGTCCTATAAATCGTCTCAGAACTATGTCATTTTGCATTCTCAAAAAGGCAGGCATACCTCAAACAGCTCAGCGTCGCCGGTGGACTGTAATTCATCCTTCAGGTGCTTGTGCTGGCGAAATTTGTGCCCGATAACTAAATCCATCTGACAAAAAAAATGGGTCCGATTAGCGTCTGAGCTAAAGTATTGGGGATGTTTTATTAAATTATACCATATCAATCCTGATGCGCAACCAATCAGAACGAACTTTGTCATTATGGCGATGGGCTTCGTTGAAAGCGTCTCTCGGGTTATCTGAGAACTTTCTAATATATTCTGCAATCTCAGGGTTGTCTCTAAGGAACTATAAGTTTTGAAAATATATCAGCGATGCTAAATTATGACAATCTATGATACAAGACACAGGGGGAGTTTGAAGCTTACCTTGAGTGATTGGAAGAGATGTTCACTAGTTGGATATATCTTCCCTTCATGTTTGATGGGGCTGGGATAGAAATTGGTGAACGAGTAGTAGGGATCCTCTCTGTTGTAGAAGTAGATACGTTCCCTAGGCATGGGGCTTGGGGACCTAGAGTGGGTGGGATGCTTTGGCAGCTTGCCGCTGTCTGCATCCTGCGCTTCAATCTGATTTCCAAACAAAGCATCTTTTATACCCGCCGAAGAAAAGATATCTCGTTTTCGGGAGGCCATAGTGATGGACGCAAGGATGGCAAGGAATGCAAGGAGAGCCTGAGATATCTTGAGGGCCAGTTCACGTGGTGGTCAGAAACAAATGACGGGCGTCAATTTTGGAGCTTTGCTGAGTAACTTTACCAAGGCGCAATTGTGAGTATCAAAACTACCTTTACCTGTGGAAATGCAACAATAAAAGGCCTCAATTTGTACACGCTGAGATCACATTTAGCATTCACTGGGTTGTGGCAGGAGGAATGGGAAATGCGGTCCTTTGAAGGCTGTCCCTCTCGGAGACGCCCGAGCCGCATATAGGTCCGCTTGTACGGTGGATGATTGGTTACGGTTCAACTTTCGAGCCCGGCCAATGTCCGGCATAATATTTTTCAAAATCCGATGTACCTTCAGCTATTATATTTGTATTTAGCAAAATTCGAGCAAGGCCTTTGATGGGCGATCAACGAAGATACATTTTAATTAATTTCTTTGATCCAGCGAGTGTGATTTGGGCAAAAGCCAGTGTGATGAGAGATCGAGCGAGCGTGCAATTCAATATGTCAACATAGGATTTCAAGCGTCCAAATACATCAAGAAATTACAAGTATTACACATATACTGACAACCCCTCTCCTCAAGGTAAGATCTCCACCTCACCCGCTTCGATTGTGTTCTGCATGGCTGTGATACCGGCGGAAATAGAAGGACAGCGAGTAAAAACGGCGCGGCTGACAGCGATAACGAGAGGAGAGGTAGACTGCCTGAGAAAATAGAGATGAGACAGTTTCGAAGTCGACGAGTCAAAGGTCACTTACCACGCAGCAAAGATACCAATTCTACGTCCTCTGGTGACCAAATAGAAGGGACCAGCTGTCCCAGCATCAGGAACCTCATAAACCTGGCCGAGGTATGTGCGAGTGATAGCCTGTGAGGCATTTGGCACATTACCTCCAGGTGGAGCGGCAGGGGTAGCGAGCGAGCCAAGTGCTGTGGTGAAAAGAGGAGAGCTGGTGGTGATCGGAGAAACTGTCGCATAAGCACTGGCACCCAAAGCAGGAGTAAGCGGAGAAGAGGCGGCACCCAAAGCAGGAGTGCGTGAAGAAGCAGCAGCTGAAGGACCAGATACCACAGTAGAGCTGGCGGCAAGCGACCCTTGAACTATTGAGGAAGATGGGGAAGAGCTGGTGTATATGGGACTTGATGGAGTTGAAGGGCGGGCACTGCCAAGAACAGCGGACATCATGAGCATAGCGTTGCTCCTACTCAAGGTTACGGATGAGAGGAGAGAAAGGAGGATGTCTGGAGGTACACGTAAGTTAGTGCAATAATCAGAAACATGAGAAGGCCTTACTCATAGTTTCTTCCTCGTCGCTGAGGCAATCTTCACTCACGGAGCGTTCAGGCTGCTTGGAAGAGTTTGAACGACCAGGGGGAGGAGATTGAGTCATTGCAATTTGGAAGGAGGAGGTAAGTATGTCTGGATGATAATTGTGAACTCACCCGTACCTTTTATAGCTGTTTGCTTGAGGCAGCATAGACTTACAGCCCATAGTTGACAATTATTGAGATCTACAAACACGGCAGTCTGACAGAGTTGCAGAATTTTCATGCGTGAGAACAATAGCTAAGGTCCAACAAATCAACATCACGTGTGTACTTCACGATCTCGGAATAATCAGCTGTTCAGACAGCACTGTAAATCTTTTCATGCAATTCTGGCGACACATTCTTGAAGAGCTTCGCGTCAACCACATGCTCACGCCAATACAGTAATGCACAGTCAGTTCCAGCTCTTTCTTGTGGTCATATGTCTCATATTAGCCCGCACTAACCAAATGATTCAACGCAAAGCCAAAACAATGGTCTCCGCCGACGCACAATGGAATCCCATTGTACTCACATGCTTGGAGGATCAAGGAGATCTCAAAGAGACTGGAAGGTACAATTCCCATATTAAATTACAAATAAACTCGGTGTGAGTTGCTCCTTACAGCATCTGCACAGTTGTGCATTCCAGAACTCAAGTTCTCGGGCCCAAAGCATGATTCCATAGAAACATTCATTGTTGTATTTAGCTATTCTATGTACAATACAATGATTTGATATCCAAAGTGCATTTCAAGAAAACAAGAAAGACCAGAACACATACTAAAAGGCCTAAGCTAATCCGAGTCGTCTGTCCACTCATACTCAAAATCTGTATCAGCTTCGTCAGATGAGTAGCCCCCGGTGTTCTGTGGTGCATCTCCTACAACGCGCCTCCGTTGCCGGTGGGGTGGAAGCTCCATGACTGGCATGAATTCGGACTCATCCTCCTCATTAGAGTTCACTGAAAGGGCCATCACAGTACGCAACTCCATGTTGTTTGGCTGATCTCGGAACTGCTGGAGTAAGTGTAAATAGATGTCCCATATGTTTTCTCGGCCAACTTGAGGGTAGTTGGCAGCATCCCAGAATGTGCGTGCCTGTAACGAAAAGGCCGGCGGGACCAGATGAAAAACAGGGTGATCGGGTGGTGCATACTTGTCTCGCACTTCTGTTAGATACGGCGGATGCACCTTAACCTGTAGATGTATGTATTATAAGTATATGACAAAGTGGAAATGATACTATGAACTTACAGCAAAATTGCGTGACTCAAAAAGCTCCGGGTTCTTGAAGATATCTACAGGGCGTCCATGAGGTAGTAACTTGTGTGAGTTTCGTCGGGGCTTTGAACCGTTGAACCTCTCAATGAAGCAGTTGAGTTCTTGCTGTATCCAGGGGATAAATACATAGTGGAAGACTAGTCTACAGGTTTGTGTCAGTTGTGGCCGCTTTGCTTAGGTAAATGGATATACGCAACCGTTGAAGAGCATCGTCAGCATCATAAAGGCCCTCGTTGACCCCCCAGTCAAGGAGAGCCTCAAATCCCGGCGCCCAACGTCTTCGAAATTGGCCCCAAAAGATCTCAGGCTTAATGTTCCGGTGAGATCCTTTGAACGTATGTTGCAGGGTCTTGTCTAAAGCCGGGTCTTGCATATGACGAAGTAATGTATGGCCGTTTGCGATACCATTGTTTTCAGTGCCGGGGTCACTTTGTGTGATTAGAGGCATCCCTAGTATAAGTCAGCAATTGGCAGCCAAGCAGTTGAAACACCGGAGAAAGAGACTCACCACCCAATCTCTCCACGACATCACAATACCATCCACATATCAGACGCGGATTATGGTTAGTCCACCAGACTTTGAGCCAGAGTACATAGCCGGAGAAGGGCTCGAGTCCAACGTGAAAAAAAAGCTGAAAGCGTCTCCACTTATCATGCTGGTCAAAACACCACAGTTCATTGACACCTGCTGTCCAGAAATAACTACGCTTCAGCCGGCGTTTTCGACGTCCTTTTACTTCGTCTGGATGGTGTAGATTCATGTAGTCTAGTATTACCTGCCTAGTATACTAACGTCCTTGTGACTGCCACTGTGTGAAAAGTGAAACAACTTACCGAGGCACCATCACCCTTTCCTCTTGTCGCAAAGTCACTCTCATATCGTGTGACCCCTGGTGAGGGAACCGCTCACGAACACGTTCAATGGTAGGCCCCACACTATCAACTGAGTGTGCCTGGCCCCGAGCACTCTTCAAGCCCCAAACCATCCGTTTTTTCTTCAGTAAAGCGAGACTATAGTTAATCAAATGTGTCAGTGTATTGTAGTATTACAGCTAGAAGGCTTACGAAAATGAGTAGCGGTCCGTGTCATAGTAGTCCTTGAGTTTAGTGACAATTTCTGGATTTGTGTATCCATCTGCGACGAATTGTTCCACCAATGGTCGGATTAAAATGTCTGGAGCTGTGAGAAAAGGACAGAAAGTGAGCATTACACCCTTGGAGTGTCGTTTATGCAAGCCTACCAGGGGATACCTTATACCCATTGGTACCTTGAGGGTTAGGCATGGCCTGCAGGGCGTTGACAGTCCTGGATAGCGTTAGCACTTGGCTGATGCACGTGGGGCACTGCAATTTGAACACTCACCTATAGGATGCACAGTCCAATAGTACACTTCCTATTTGATCCACAGCCTGTTCAGTGTAAGCAGTGGAGTCAGTTCTTCAAGTGATCCTATGGGCAGAAAGGATATGGAAGATCCGCTCAATAGACACTTGGATACGCACTTCAGACAAAACCGTAAGGCTAATCAGATCGTGTTTGCACGCAATTCATTTAACCGGTGCCTGCCTCTTCCTCATTTGTTTTCACTGACATTATCTCCGCAAAGATCTCCCATCTCCTCATGTCAATTTGCAATCACCAGCTTTGACATATCCATATTGATCCTTGTCCGCGTGTTGTTCGAGGATGGCCCATTGGTGAGTCGCCAGCCACTCAGATTGGCAAAGTCCTCATTGTTATCTTTGTGCCGAGGAGTTCTCAAATTTGACTCGACTCGACCCAAATCCATTCGGACTACAACTCATCTTCAAGGATCCATATAAACTACACCAGGAATGGGGGGAGAACAGTAAGTAAATTAGCCGCCATGGACTTCACACCCACTATCGAAGGCCCACCAACTAAAAGTTGTCATCGTTGTCGTACAGAATTTGATAAGTCTGTCCGGTTCTTGTATATCAAGGGTAGGGATGGGACCGGTCGCCACTGCTGTTCAGATTGCGTCGAGCATTATCAGCGCAAGCGTGCGGAAACTGGAGAACGTCATGGTCATAGTACCAGTGCAATATCTGGTGAAATTGTCGGTATGTCTGATTGTCTTCTGTAATTCAATGTATATGTTAAGGATCAAATCTAGATTTCACGAAAGTGGCTTCCCGGGCACATGGTGTTGATGCCGACTCGCGCCAGGCTCTTGTCAAGGCTTCTTCGGCCGCACAACGTGGCGGTGAGTAAAATTTCCAGCTCACCTGTGCGTGTTCAAGTTACTTACCAAACACACATTATGAAATCCCAGAACAGTCATTCCCTAGGCAGCATATTGGGGTGGGACATGCTACATCTAGCGTTATGCCTCCCCCTCTTATCCCCTCGTCTGCTAGTGTCAGTGCTGATAGCGTCTCCCAAGCCATAGGATATACTCAGAACCATGCATTCCACGCCCACCACCGCACGAAAATGCTAGCATCAACAGTAGCTCCTCAACGTCAAGTCACAATCCGGATAGCTCTCCATCATGTGAAGGACGAAGGAAAATCTGGAACAGAGCTGGTTGGGGTGAGTCTTTGGGTACTTCAATATTTCAAGGATACTCACATGTACTATTATTTGAGAATATTGAACGAGACATTACAGTACCGCTCTCTATTAAATGTGGCCAACTACGCAACATAGTGATTGAACACCTGAAGCGTTTGTGGGTGGTCTGGTCTTGTGACCATCAGCTGGCACTCGAGTCTTTACAGATGCTGAAGGCTCCATTACTCCTCATTTACGACCCCGAAGAGCCTCATCAATACTCTGAGCGGCTGGTCCTTCACGATTTTTTCTTCCGCACATCAGCAAAGGACAACATGCCCAAGTTTTCACCAAACGTGAAAGTTCCCATCATTCTCTTGATGTCAAAGGAGGAATTTGAAGATGTCTTGCTATGGAAGGAAGAAGATAGGCATGCCAAAGCACGCTCACGCAATGAAGAGGTTCAGAGCCCCGGAATATCGTCAGACGATGATGATATTGGTGGTCCGATGGACAAGGTTATACATTTTACTTACTTTTACTGCGCTATACTTACAGCAACTGGCCTTACTAGATATTCCTTGCAGCAACACGTGGTGGGAAACGAGCTAGAAAGACTCGTGTGCGAAAGGCGCCAGGCCAATCTTCCATCCCCGCACGTGAGTCGGTATCTGTGCGTTCAAAAGCACCAGTGTCAGAGGAGGTATGCCAATGGCCCTCACATTATTGGAGACGATACTTACCACATGTAGGGTGAATATGACAGTCGTAGTAACAATACACGCAGCACAGCATCAATGTCAAGCCTATTCCACAGCAAACACTCCATCAAGACGTCTGAACTACGCCCCCTCACTCCCTCAAGCTCTAGCAGCCAATCACTGCCCTCAAGACTTTTCTCCAAGGCTGCTACTAATCCCAATATCCCGCCATTCAGCATGCCTGACAAGGCAGTTCTTGAGCGTGTCATGAAGGCACAAGGAGATGTTCGACGCCTAGCAAAGCCGATATGTAAGTCAACCTATATTTCTATCTAAAACATCTATTAACGTGCTAGTGAAGTAAATACGGACATAGGAATCTATGTCCTGTTCCTCGTCCCTTCGATCCCATTCACTGAGCTTCTAAAGAAGCGGGTCCCTTTCGATGTCATGAGCAAGGTCAATCGCCCTCTAGTCACTTTAACAGTTGACTGCAGCTCAAAAGCAATGCTGGGGCCAGCCGGTAGCTTCAAGACATGCCACCCAGCGTCATATGATCTAACTGAAGCTCTGCCAGCAGAGGAAAATATTCTACAGGTAGAGGCTATAGTAGCAAAACGTTGCTTTTACAGAGAAACAGTACAGGGAGCCGAAAAGAGTGGTACACCATCAAGTCCTTCAGGCGGGCGCAAACGACTGGCCATCAAGGATGAGCTAATGAAGATGCTCGACGAGGCTAACTGCCTTTACTGGGCAACAAGCCTGTTGGCTTTAGTTTATAACTTCGTCGACGACAAGCTTATTCGAAGGCCCCTTGACTGTCCTCCCCCGGCAATCCCCCGACTTCGAGTCGTCCACGCCGCTTTGGCCATCCCCCAAGACAGCAGAGAGTTGCGTAATGCCGTTTATCTTCTCGAGGAGAAGATAAACGGTAACTTCGTGAAGTATATCAATAACAATAGTGCAGCTCCTCGGCACAAACTTGCTCCGCCTGAACTGGAGATTGCAACCTTCCTATGCTTCGCACAACACACTCAATATCATTTCTCGCAAGGCCTTGTGTTCATCTCAGATTTTCAAGGTAAGTTAATATAAGCTAGTCTCTTTTGCTTTCCTTTTCGTACTTACATTTGACTTGTCAGGGTCCGGTGGAATATTGACTGACTGCCAGGTTATCACTACCAAGTAAGGCTCTATTACCTCCATGTGGTTGGTTCTCATCCTTTCCCAGAGACTTTGCCGATAATTTTGGCGAAGGAAACTGGACGGCGACGTTAGACAACTTCCCCTTGTTGCACAAATGCAACCAGTATTGTGTATATTTCGGACTCCCTTCCTTGCAGACAGCAGTATGTTTTCTTTTTCTGATGGATCCTTTCTACTACATCTCATGTCACCTCTTTTTTCACAGAGTTCGGCTACAAAGATGAGAACATCACAAGAGATTGACATCATGTCCAGTCGTGTTCGTGGCTGAGAGGGATTTTTTTTTACATGACATGTACTTACTGTATCGCTTGAAATCCTATGTTGACATGTTGAATTGCACGCTCGCTCGATCTCTCATCACACTGGCTTTTGCCCAAATCACACTCGCTGGATCAAAGAAATTAATTAAAATGTATTTTCGTTGATCGCCCATCAAAGGCCTTGCTCGAATTTTGCTAAATACAAATATAATAGCTGAAGGTACATCGGATTTTGAAAAATATTATGCCGGACATTGGCCGGGCTCGAAAGTTGAGCCGTAACCAATCATCCACCGTACGCTTGCATGATCTTCAGTTTGAACTTCACGACACATTAGGGATATCACAGTGTCGTATCTTGAGATTTCTTTTAGCGCCATAATTGACCTTTCCTTGTGGTCAAGTTTGCCTTTTTCGTAGGCGCAGCAGCTGCCACTTGAATATTGCCGATATTTACTGACGGCCAGCAGGGAAGAGCGGAGAATGCAGCCAGGAATGTATCACTGGCATAGCCTGGACCATTCGAAAGAACAAACCGGTGCCCCAGCTTCCCCGCGCCATACTATCACTCCTGACATATGGATTCCTCACGTTGGTCAAGTTATTGTATTATGTGGCGGCTAGGGTCAATGGTATCGAAATCGAAAACGTTGGCACGACAGTCAGTCCTATATCTGGAATATGAAAGTGCCATCTGTGCCGTCCATCACACCTCCTTTAGGCCACGCTGATAACATGTGTATTGGGCCATACTCACTCCTGAAGGCTGTCCAGTCGTGCTAAACTCAAGGCGAGCCTCAGATCTTTTCGGTTCTTGCCGAGTCAGACACCACCCCCATCGTCTTCCTCCAGGGAAATGATTCTGACTCTACCGTATCTAGCCCCTCGCTCAACTGTACTCTCATGACATCTAAACGCTTCTCAACTTATGTCCAGGATCCTCCTGCCCAAATAACCTACGCCCACGACCCAGCAGATAATTCATATCATGTTGAGATTCAAATAATTCGGATTAAATCTGATAGGAAGCTCTCTCCGGAGGAAGTAGATGATATCAAGAAGAGCGTCGATGTGATTCACAAGCGAGGCTCGTTGGCACAGACTCCAAACTTCACTGTCACTCAGACTCAACTTGAAGTTGTCAAAGGCGAAGTACGCCCCGGCCGTCAAGGTACTGCGACTTCTACGCCTCCATCTACCCCCATAACTAAACCTTCCAAAACTCGCCAACGCATTCTGTTTTATGACGCGAAGGACCCATATTATGGCTTCACTAATTTCTCGCCGGATCCTGTCGAGTACAAAGGGAGACGATACCCAACCAGCGAGCACCTTTTTCAGGCATTGAAGGTATCATCATACTCAGATGAAAATTGATGTACTAAATCAACAAATCAGTTTATGGAACATCGACCTGAGCTTGCTGAGCATATCAGGACCTGTTCTACCAGGCCGAGAGTCGTTTTCGACGAAACTCACCGATTCAATCCTGAAGTGCGTCCTGACTGGCTCAAAATCAGAGTCCAGATGGTACGTGTCACTCGACATCTTTGCCGTAAACTAGCATAGGTGATTCTAATGTGTTTACGAACAGATGGATCTGGCCATTTTCCACAAATTTACTCAGAATACGCATTTGAAAAAACAGCTCTTGTCTACAGGGGATGCTGAGCTTGTCGAGGTAAGTCCTCCACCATTCACGATGCATGTAGCTATGCTAACTTGGGGGAATCACCTTATCTTACAAAAGGACTCTCCTAAGGATTCGTTCTGGGGAGTAGGACCTGATGGGAAGGGTGAAAATCAACTTGGGAAGGCCCTTGAGAGGCTGAGAGCGAATTTGCGGGGTCCTCATCCATTCAAAGGCCCCGTACCTATAGAGAGGGCACGTTCTCGATGAACGTATTGATATACTTTGCTTGTATTAGGACACGATACGTACACATGGATGTGATTCTTCTACTTCCCCGCAGGGCATGGATTGATTGATCGCGATCAATCTCGATCGGCGCTCTGCTATACATCTGAGATCTTATCTTTCTCATCAGGCATTTGTCCTTGAGCTCAGTAGGAAGGCGCAGAGGTACAGGGTTCAAGCAGGGATCAGATCGTGTGACGCCAAAGGTGAGCTATGGACATGGCAGCCGGAGACCCTGAAGGATACTTCTAAGATAACAAATCACAATGGGCTACCTCATTGGAATAGGAACCTGTCATAGCTGGTTGAAAATGATTGATATGTGTGATATACACATCGATGACTTCAACAAGTTTCAGCTTCGATGACCAATCATATGACATACACGACGCAAGGTGCAAACGCATTGACAGGTGTATGGGACTAGACTAAAGAACAGTCCAACGAGAAAGTTGCATATTGAACTGCTGCTTAGGAGTACATCACGAGAAATGATGGCCGGATCGCATCATTTCGATACACAACTAGCTCATCATAGTTGAGAGCACCGCCTGGCTCACCAATGACCTAGGGTAAATTAGCTCAAACATGCCTTCCTTAGGAAATTCACGTCCTGAAACTTACTGCATCATATCCAGAAGGTGGGGATGTCAGCTGACGGCTGTCTGACTTCATTTTGATTGCCTTTCCAACAACGACCTTAACTAGAAGAAGGGCTTTCCACAGAGACTGCGATGTTGTCTTGACGTAGTCATTCGATCTGATTGTCGAGCATTATGTGAGAGACCAGGGCTGACAAACAGACATTTTACTTACTTGGATGCTGTGGAGGACGTGTATATACCCATTCCGAATCTGCAGACATGCCACATCAACATCAGCAATCATGGACGCCAGTACTGATCACATTTAACAAGTGGGGACGAGATAAACACATACCTTTCCCATCCAAAGTTATTTCCAGAGTATTTCAGATCGAAGGAAGTACGGATGATGCTACATAAAGGACAATTTCCCGTAGAGCAAAGTTGTGTTTGACCGAAATCTCCAAGGTTGCATCCACGTCGAGTCCCATGCCACCTCCGACATTCGTTACCTGCCGTTCTCCCCTGAGACACGAAATTACCTTTTGCTTCCACCTCAGCACTGACAGAAAAGCGAGGTGCATGAGAAACAAATCTTGCCTAATTAACAAATTCGATACCCACCGATATTTATCGTAATCGGCTACAAATGCCTTTGGCTCGACGATCTTGTACACCGCTTGTAGATTTGGGCAGGGCTTGTCAGGATCAGGATGTCGCCAAGACTGTGTCAATTGATTTTGAACTGCCGCGGTACCTGTAAGCGAGAGGGCCACGCAAACATTGTTCAAAGCTACTTACCGCTGGTGAAAGTAACATGATTTCTTGGAACTTCTAAAAGCAAGGGAGCCACGCTTTCTGCTCTCATTGCACATGTCTTCCCACAGAAATGGCTGTAGCTTTGTTTGGGAGATTGTCGACACATGAGGCAGACATCATCCACTGTCAACAATGAGTGGACAAGGTAAAGAAATAGAGACTGAAGTATACTAACCAAGGGTACCATCGAGTTCTCCTGGTCCGGTGAATGGTCCATTCAAGTTCATACCTTCCCCACACTCACCCATTCCATACCCAGTCCCGTTTTGCGCAGGCTGTAAGATACCAAGGTCACTGTCATGTTGCAGCCTACAGCGCAAGCTACAAAAGGGACGAAGTATCGACCCATCGAAAAACCGTGGCTGGGAGTGACAATACTATCCAATCCAACATGATAGTCAGCCAACTTCCGATGAACAGCAGACGAAACAAAGGCGACATACACCACACAAACCATCATCTTGATAGCCTGGATTCCAGCATGGTCCAGGGGTGGCCAGTCCCATTGACTGGGCCTGCTGCCTGCAATACATACTACAAAACGGCCTAAGTCGGACACCATCGAAATATTTTGGTTGAATATGACAAAACTACTCCATTGAGTCATTAGTAGTAGTATCGAGGGAGAATCAGTGGGAAGAGGACTTGCATTACAGGTCATCCCGTCGTCGAACCCCTGCACTGGACCTCCGAATGGATCTAGTTGTCCTGGGAAACCATCACAATCTGGGCCTGCGAAGGGGGAGGGTGGATGTCCCGGATTGTATCCTGGAGCATACCCGGGAAACTGTGCAAAGAGTTATCACGTTCTGAAACTTCAAAAGACGAGCACCAAAATTACCAGGTAGTTCATATCGTATGCGTAATGTGAGTGGCACAATAAATGAAAGAATTGATTGTGGGCTCCTAGGATCCTATATAAGACTAAGCAAACACTTTTTGATGTCGGTATCGTTAGTTCAATGAGAGTATAGCGCAACACGTTGACGGACGCATCAATTCGGTTTGAATTTGTAACAACACGCACGGCAAGCTCTAACCACTGACAGGTAGGCATGAGTTCGATCAAAGTAGAATCCAGGGCAAGCACATGCACGACACGCAGCAAGTCAAACCATAGCTCTGGACTAGCCATACCAATAAAGTGAACTCAGCATGCCATATATGTTGAGCTGATTGACCAATATTGCGAGGTTGCAAAACCTACATGTGTCAAAATCATTTTCTTGTTACGTGTTATCTTGATAAGAGTACATAAACACAACACCGTGACAAGAAACGAGAGTTCATTTGCAGCCTAATAGTGCTCGGTAATACTATCCCTGGAACACAATAAGGTAAGAAGGTCTGGCAGCATCGTTGGTATATACGATCAGCTCGTCGCCTCCTGCAGCAGTTCCTTTAGCTACAACTGAATCATATCCCTTGGGTGGGGCTTTCCAGTCGTTGTGGTCCTGGTCAGGTTTGATCGTTCTACCCACGACGACCTTTGCTAGCAGAAGAGCCTTGTAAGGTGATGCTTGGACGTTGCGGCAGTATCCACCAGCACTAAAAACAGATTCAATACAGATAAAAAATTACATTGTAAAAATTGTCACGTACGTCGCAGATGTAGACGAGGTGTAAATGCCGGGGCCAAATCTACCGTGCCGCGTTTGAATTTTATTAGCCCGCGACTTATGAGGATGTTTTTTCTTTACCTTAAACTGGTGTAATTCTTGCCAGCCTTTGACAAGTCGAAAGAAGTCCTCATAATTATACAGAGGCTGCAGGTCGCTGACCCACAGAAGTGCCTATTTCCAGGATCGCCAACTTTACATTCCCTATTTAATGGGTAAAACAAAATTAATAAATGATTTAAAAAAAGTGTGGAGATTACGTACCTCCTAGTTCCGTGCCAACGCCTACGTTCATTTCCTGCAGCTAACTTCCTACGTCTGAAATGTCCACGGGCTTCAACGCTTGCGCTATATATAGGCCAACCATTATAATTAGCTTCTGAGGCTTTATGGCGAATACGTATACTTACCGATACCTAGTGTATTTGACAACCGAGGAATTACGCTCGATCAGTTTGTATAATTTCTTGATTGGAGGAGGATTCCCGCTCCTCCAGGATTTCTTGAACTGATTTTCGACTTGAAGGTGAAGTTGGGTTTATTAGTGTATGCCTCTCGATTGACATATATTATTTTACCATCACGGAACATAACGTGGCCCGCTGGAACCTCCAGGAGTGTAGGAGCTCTCCTTTCGACTTGCCTAGCACAAGCCTTCCCGCAGAAAGGGTATTTACCATACCTTTTCCGCTTGTGACACACCAAGCATGCAACCTTAGCAAGCCTAGAAGCAAAATAGTCGTAGATATAGAGTATGTCAGAAAAATTATGATTACTTACTCGACGTGGCTTCGAGAGCAATATTTGCCTGCTTTCCCATTTTTTGGTTTATAGACAGGCTTGTTACACCCTGGTATGGCACACGTCGCTATGATAGACGTGAGATAAGAACGAGTGCAAATAGAAAACTGCTTACGTCCAACAGGTTTAGGACGAGTTGGTTTAGCTTTGGCAGCACAACTCTTGCCGCAGAAGGGGTATGTCTTCTTTCCATCATGGTACTTGGGTCTCTTGTGGCAATACTGTAACAAAAATTTAGTCGTGTTAGTTAGTTATAGAAATATACGCCAGTGTCACACCCACATCGCAAAGTCCACGTTGCCCAGCACCACCCTTCGCTTTTGCAGCACATGTTTTACCGCAATAAGGATAGGTCGTTTTTCCACTGCGGTATCTGGGTTTTGCATGACAAACCTAAATAGGGGATGAGGACGCGCTGTGCGTGACACAGAATAGATATTTATTTACAACACAGAGGGTGGCCTTTGCTTTGGCGGCACAAGTTTTGCCACAATATGGAAATGTCGTCTTTCCATCAGAGTAACAAGGCTTCTTGCGGCAAATCTAAAGCCAAGAAGTAAGAAATGGTCCGATTATTGGTGTGAGTTACGCACGGGGCACATCTTTTTGCCTTGGGTCGGAGCAGGTGCTCTAGCACGAGCTGGAGCTGCTGCTGCTGCGCGGAAAGCCATCGGGGCCGCCGCAGGTGGTTGAGCAGCAAAGTTCATGAGTTGGGGCTGCACATCGCCACCGCCGTCTGAATCGACATCGTCATCTGGGAAAACGGCTTCAGCGTCACTGTCGCTATTATATCCACCATCGTAGTCATCCGACTCGTCATAGTCATCTTGAAAGTCGCCGTAAGATGCATCATCGACGTCCTTGTCAGTAACATCGTCAATTACGTTCTGATCAAGGAAGTTGTCCGCATCGTCATTCAATTCGTCCTCGTCTGGATAGTCCTCGATGTCGTCGCTGAAGACGCTGTCGTTATCACTGTCATTTTGCACGTCGATCGCCGCGTCGACATCGTAGTCCGATTCATGGTCAACCATGATAGAGAATTTGGGTGCCTAAGTTCAACGGTAAAAATTTGCAAGAGATATAGAACCATTCAGGATATCTTAGTTGACTTATATGGCATGGACAGCATGATTATGGTATTGCTGGTAAAGGCAAGCAGCTTTGTTCTTGTTGCGATCCTGACTCCATAGAAGTTGTCGCATATCGAGACTTTTCAGCGAAAAAGTGAAGACCAAGCACTGGTTTGGAACGGGAACCGATTACTGAAACTCAGTCGGACTTATAATAGATTCGGACATGCCCGAGATATGGAAGTGGTGCTTGACATACAGACTCGTTTTCCTGATCCATATCTCGCACATCGTATGCATTGTACCGAAAAGCGTTCAACACCAGATCAAGAAACCTCTGGAAGCATGGCTGATCACAAGGCATCACCGCAGTCAAGCTCAATCTGTCTATCAGCTTGGAACCACTGTCGAGTAAAATGTCAAGGCTACACGTTGCACGGCGATCATTCCGAAACCATAATATCCCAGTCACATTTGGCGCCGGGGATATATGACTTTCATTCATGCAGCGCAGTCTTGTACACGCTCCTTTTGAGATATCGACAGACATAGCGTAATACTTACCAGAATTTCACGGGGCCTATCTGGATAACACATATCACTGGTACGCATTGGCGCCGACCGCCCTTTTTGGAATATCGTACTCTCCTATTAGGACCTTATCTAAATCTTCACAAAATTCCAGGGCAAGGTCCCCACAGAAGTTATAGCATGTGGCGCTCTTCTGAGCTGTCTGTCAATGCAAGTAATTTCGGAGACGCCAAAGTTCCGTCGGAGTCAACTTGGTGAAGAAAAGTTCACCCCTATCTTTTTATAGGCCGTCGCATTCTAGCACCGATATGGCCCATTGTAGTCAAGAAAAGGCTGATCGATTAAGAGATAATACACTGGGCTTCTTCGCGCGAAGTTTTCGATGCATTATATCGCGTATGGCCTTCGCGCGGCTTCCATACAATCGGAAGAAACGAGCCCCGAATGCACCTACATGACATGGAGGTGGATAAGGTTAGGAACGCGGTATCATGAAGATATTCAACATCTTGACAAACACAATAAAATTCATGAAAGTTTTACGTCTTGCTATCAAGAACTTGAAGTTTGGACCATTTTTCCGCTTTCAGGAAATTTCGGTGACAAGTGCCATACGCATGATCAAAAATGGCTTCACAGCCCTTTGCACGAGGTCTTAAAAGGCCCAATTCTGTTATTGCGATCGTATTAACTGAAGTTCCTATCGCAGTATTAACATGTCTTCAGACGACAACGATGACTACTCTGATGATGACCTTTTTGGATCACCTACTTCACTGACTGACGACGACAACGACGATGTAAACGATGATGAAGAAGACGACGTTGATGAGTACCCCGAGGACGATGACGATGATAATGATGATGGTGGTGCGGCGCCTTTCGCTACGGCTGCCATGCCTGTTTCTCGGGCATTGGCTGCACCTCGTGCTGCAATTGCCCCAGTCAGAAACCCTTGTGATGTGAGTAATGTATGCTCTTGTAGTATGTGTCTTCTAATAATTCACATCAATGCGTAGTGGTGCCACGCAAAGAGTAAGTTTGTAGACAAAGGATCATCTTTACCTTACTGTGGCAAGACTTGTGCGCACAAAGCAAGGGGCGCTACTGATCTCGAAAGTAATCCTACGTTCATCTCATTCTATGTCATACATTGTTGTCTTACATCTATACACCAAACCAGCTCCTACCCTCTGTATCATTCCTGGATGTCCCAAGAAAGTCTGGTCGCCTCCAAGCGGTCCGAAGAGCAAGTATTGCGGTAAAACGCACTTACAGTATGGTCTCTCCATCGTCTGTTACAACAATGCCGCTAACAAATGACGTCGAAATAGATTAGGCAAGGTTGCTTGTTTGTGGTGTCGCAAGAGGAAAAAAGCTGGGCAGCACAACTTCTGCTCAGTAAGTTGTGCTAGTATGGCCGAAGCTCTGGCTCCATTCTTGATCGAAATGTACAAAGGACATGTAACATATGACAGTGGTGAGGTATTTTCTTGCCTATGCACATATATGCAAAACTTATGTGACCACATCTCCAGTTGCACGCCAATTTAACTCAAAATGGCTTCATCCACCAGCCCCTGGCAAGCAGAAAGGGACAGCGAAAAAAATATACAAGATCGTCGAAAAACCCGCATTCCGAGCATCTTATGACAAATATAGGTAAATAACTTTACTCATATTCAGTATAGAACAGAGATGCTGAGGTAAATGGCGAACTGCATAGGGCTGCTCTGGAAGCAAAAGGTCACTTTAAAGGCAAAAATGGTATGTCGGCGGGAAATGAACGTCGTCGCTGGCATGGCACTGCTAGGTGAAAATGATTGTCGCAGTCTCCTGCTTTCATGAGGCTGATTCAATGATTTAATCATATCAGGAACTGTCATCTTGGGGACCAGAATCAGCTTCAGTTGTGCAACCTTCCGGTCTGTCCGATTTGTAGCATCACCAGGACCTCTTTTGATTTGAAGTACTTCACCAAGTGGGGAAGGTCAGTGATTCATTTGGTCATGCTTTTTGAACTTAGAATAATAATAATTTGTCTATTATGACAGGTTTGGAAAGGGTATCTATACTTCTGCGACATCATCCAAGTGATAACTTCTCCTCACAATCAGTAATCACTTGTTACTAATATTACCACTAGATCGAATGACTATATCACAGGCACCACGGTGCCATACAAAGCGATCTTTTTGGCAAGCGTAGCTGTAGGAAGGGCATCTATACAGTACACTGATAATCCGAACCTTACTCAGCCTCCTCCTGGATACGACTCGGTATGTTTTCACCATGTTCACTTCTGCTTGTCGAAGTGTTGACGTCCTGATATTCAGGTCATTGGACAACCTAAGCAAGGGGGTTCGCTCAATTATGACGAGTTGATAGTATATACGAATGATGCTATCCGGCCTTCCTATGTTGTGATGTATGCCCAGTAATTTGCAGAGTTGTATTTTGTCAAATGTACGAATACTGAAGTTGTTGTTGAATGGATATCGCTGCTGCAATTAGTTCCCTTGTCGAGTGTTTGCCGAGAAACGGTCAATCAACCTGCAGGTGTTCGCGACAGCACGCTGTCCGCGTATAATCACATACGTTTCCTAAAGAGTTTATTACACTGACCACCAGCGACACTTCGAAGCTTTGTTAAGACAGATGCATCATGGAAATTTATTATACAAGAAAAAGAAAAGCTCGAATATTCGATATAGAAGATGGGGACGAACACGAACAACAATGAGGATCATGTTAAGCATATACTAGATCATCGAGATCTACGAGGAGCATCCTGAACTGGGCAAGACCTATTATTATAGTTTACGGAACATGACCATGAAGTGAGGCTTGAGCGTTACGGATATACTTCTACCCGTCGTAAATGACAAGGAATGATGGCCTTATGGCATCGTTGTTGTATACCACGGTTTCATCAAAGTTAAGGCTACCTGAGATGCCAATATGTGTTAAGATAAAATATAGAGAAAAAGGAACGCTAAAATCTCACCTAGCAGCTTCGGTTCGCCAAGAACCTACTCGCGTATCAGTCGAAAGCTCAAAAATAGGGACGTAGATCATCACATACCGAGTCAAAACCAGCGGGAGGAGCGGTCAAAGTCCGAGCATCAAGTGTGAGTGTCTTTCCCTTGCCAACCACAACAGTATTCAAAAGCAAAGCTCGCACTGGTGGTCGCGGTCCATTTGGGCAAATATAATCATCTGCCCTACAATAGAGTCCCACGTCAGCGGTAACCTTTAATTAGCTTCGTTGTGCACCCACTTGGAAGATGTGGCTGATGTATATATGCCTAATCCGAACCTTGAAAAAATGAAGTCTCGTCAAGGTACGCCCTGTAGACATGCATTGAAAATCATGGCAATTACCTCAGCCAACCAAAGTTGTTACCTGAATACTGCAAGTCATACGAAGTTCGGATGATGCTACAAATAGGACATCCCTGCCCTGAGCACAGCTGCGTTTGGCCAGATTCGCCAATTTTGCATCCGCGATGAGCACCATGCCAGCGACGGCATTCATTACCCGGAGACATGCCCTTAGCCTCGAAATGACCTTTTCCTTCCACCTTGGTTCTGAAGACGACGGTCAACTAAATCACTCTCACCAAACAGGTGCAAAGCAACACACTTATACGCCTCGTATTTCGCTCTGAGCGTGTGCGACTCGACTATCTTGTAGATCTTTTTAATTCTAGGGGAAGGCCTGTTCGTGTGCTTCCACGAAGTATGCAATTGATTTGCGACTTTTGGTTTCAAGAAGGTTTTGTATAGTCAGCCGAATAGGTTATTTGGTTAGAAGCGTACTTACCACTCTTATATGTAACATGGCTGGATGGTACATCTAACAGCAGGGGAGCCTGGCTTTCTGCAGAGTCGGCACAATACTTCGAGCAAAAATTACGCTGTCCCTGCTTAGGAGCCTTCTTGCACATAAGACATGCGGTGCTCGTGTCAAATGGTTTCCCCTGACCGGCTTTCAAATGGTAGCGTTTATGTCACATTAAACACTTAGGCCTGCCTTTTCTTCAAGAAATACAGTCGACTCCTCACCTCCACCAGAGGCATTAGCTTTCCCAGCACACGTTTTCCCGCAGTATTGATGGCCGGGTGCTTTTGGTTTCGCATGGCAGAACTGTTAAACCATGAGTATTGTCTGAAGAAAAGAAAGGGCGAAGCCACTAGACCTGGCAGTCATCGGTTTTTGCTTTGGAAGCACAAGTTTTACTACAGTATGCGTGTACTTTTCCTGCCTCGACACGCTTTGGTCGAGAATGGCAATACTAAGATAACGAATTAAACAATAGAATAGAATCAAGTTGATATAACGAGCACGCACATCACAGGTCCCAGCCATTCTTTATTCGAAAGTCGTCGGGTGACGTCTACGTTGGCTTACAAGGGCGGGGGACGAGTCAGATACGCAAGAGGACTAAAAAGTATGCTTTATCTGAATACATTGGTCGACGCATTTATAGGCAGACTAGCGCCAATATGCTGTACTAAACCGGTTTGGGGCCAAACCCTTGCATGGTTCAAACATGTCCGAATGCTTCAGACCTTAGAGCCTCGTTGCTTCAGGCGCTAATTTCTTGGGAAATCAGTGAGCATGCGCAGATCGATGTTGGTGATATGAAAAGTAATGTCAACTTTTCTGCTTCAAGGATTTCAGCACCACTACACGCGGACTGGGCATGTACTCGTACTTTAGCGCTGGATAATATATACAGTTTTATTTTCCCCTTTGAATCATGAATTCCCTCCGTGATCGGTCCGTTCATCGGAGAATATCGTTCCGCATGGAAAGCTATTCACTCCTATGTCGATATATTAAGTCGGAAATATTTATGCAAAGCCAAAGCACTGTATGAACCACGAATTCAGCCCTTGCCATCGATTTATGTTGTTTGAAGGAAACTATACATTCAATCGTTAGGTATATACTACGAGGTACGAAGGCCTGATAGCGTCATTGGTGTATACCACGAGCTCATCATAGTTCAAGACTGAACTAGGAGAAGCCTCGCCAATGACCTACCACGGGGGCGCATCAATGAGCTCTCATATAATTCACAAACTGGTGACTATCTCGACTTACAGAATCATAGCCAGCCGGGGGAGCAGTCAGGTAAGGGCTATTCTGAGTAAGCTTGATGGCTTGTCCAACAATAACCGTGTTCAGAAGAAGAGCTTTGTAGGGCGAGTATACCAAATTTTGATTGTAGTCATCAGACCTGTCATGGGTATGTTAATGTATAGATATATCAATAAAATATTTGTAAGAAGTGTACTTTGAAGATGTCGCACTCGTATAAATTCCTTTTCCGAACCTATATTATGACACATGAAGTCAATTTTTATTCTGACTGTCGGACATGGCGACAGGACCCACCTCTCCCAGCCGAAATTGTTCCCAGAGTGTCCGAGATCAAAAGAAGTGCGGATGATGTTGCAGAGTGCACAATTTGTGTTGTAGCAAAGTTGAGTAACGCCTGGGTCACCGAGATTGCAGGCGCGTTTAGTGCCGTGCCATCGGCGACACTCGTTTCCCGGAGCCAAGTTCGAAGCCATGAATTGTCCTCGCCAGTCAACGCCAACACTGAATGATCTTGGATCACCTGCGATATCCGGAAGCAAATGTAAGTGGAAAGACTTACCGGTATACTTCATAGTTCGCTCTGAAAGACTGGCTCTCTACGATTTTGTAGACTCGATGGAGAGTAGGAATAGCTTTGTTTGGATGTTTCCAGGATGATTTGAATTGGTTTTCAACTAAGCTTCAAGGTTATTTCTTTATCGAAAAGCTGTTCAGAAGTAACTTACTATCTCCGAACGTAACATGGTCTGACGGGACTTCAAGCAGTAAAGGAGCCATGCTCTCAGCCATTTCTGCATCAGGCCTTCCGCAGAAGTGGTGGTTGCCTGTACGAGGGCGAACACGACACATCAAACAAACATTATCTAGTGCAAACATTGAATCAACAAGACTGCATTGATAGTGACGCAAATACTGAGCCATTTCTACATACTGGTGCGGCCATAGCTGTATTGCGACGAACTTTTGGCCTGGTTTGCGCACGAAGTACTGCAGTAGCTAGAGTAGAGGCCATCGACTATTCCTCTGTTACGAAAATGGCAGAACTACCAGCGAACGTGAGCAAAAGGAACAGGCGGCAGATAGCCTGAGGCATACGACTCACGGCGCAAAGCTCGCTATTAAACTCCATGATGGTATTGATGTGTTAGATTGAATTCTTCTGATAGCTCAACTTTGTGATCGTTTTAACTGCCACTCCAGTTTTTACAGGCCATATGGGGATGGATAACATGATCGTCCATAGCTATGGCCTATCATTCAAACGACAGGATAAATGTCAAAATGTCAGTGACAGGTGGTGGTGGAAAATGATTGACGATCATATTTGGTAATATTTTATTTCCACGTTCTCATCACGTGCATCTCTTATCAGTCGAACTTGAAGCTTGAAGATCATCACGTTCCGAGTGCAAAAACATAATTCATTCGAGGATGGTACATGCAACAACTATTCTCGGCAAGAAACCCTTATCAGTTTTATTCACTTTGAAAGGCGCTGAAGTGGAACCCCTCTCTCAGATGCGGTTTGAAACTTGAATGAGGTGAGCTTCTGTTCCTGCGGAATGTTCGGCGACATCACAACGACAGGCCATGCTTACGATACTGCCGACCCCTGTCCCATATCTCTGGAACCCTCGGTATTTATGAGACAAGAGCAAGCATATTTCAAATGTTCGTGGTCAGTACTTAGCATGTAAGCTCGGGCTTAGCTTCCTAAAGGGTACTACCTTTCCTTTGATTGATGTCGTTGATTTCCGTCAATATGACTACCGCACTTACAGGTTCGCATTTCCCCACTGTATCTCCAAATCATGTCACTGAACATATGTATTTGTCTCTGCGAAAAGACCCGCAGTGCGCCTAAAACTGTGTCTTTCACGATCATCGCCAAGAATAAATCTCTACAAAGTTGGTGACTCTCTACAGCTGTCACAGGCTCTGTTCTCGGGCCATGTTTTGCCGCCCATGACAAAGAATCCCCGACATCAATATTGCATCGTGTCTTCACTTGTACAGCGTTGTTAACGCTGACTTTGACGCCTATGCATTTCAGGGTAACGGGGAATCTGCGAGAAAATTGGAAAATCCCTGATTAGTATTGCTGATGCCGCTCTTTGGATTCGTTCGAAGGGGTTTATCGTGATATTTACGGCCTTCTCAGGCACTCACAGCGTTGGCGTCTCTCGAAAATGCGGAACCACTTTCAAGAAGAGAAGGAATGAATACACGCACATTATCTGGTTCGCGGCATGCGGTCAGCATCTGCTGATCATGCATGAAACGTACAATCAACTCGTATACGACGCCCTTAACAAGCCACCTATCCTCGTAATGGATGGAAGAGCTTCTATGGATTCTTACCATGGTCGCGATTTCACGATATAGCGATGATGACTCGCAATATAGCAACTTAGCTGCTCACCATACCTCTCACAATCTCTAGATAGTGACAAGGACGACGGCTTTGACGATGAAGACGAAATAAAGCTCTTCTTATGTTACGGTGCCACTTCTGGTTATGACAGTGCTGGCGGTGAATTTGATGGATTTCAAATCAATTCAGACGACTTGGGTCTAGACAACGACGATGCCTTTGATGAACAGTCTTCGGACTTCAGCGATAATAACGGTTCTTCTGAGAGAGTGGTGATGCATGATGGACCTCCACTGGCAGATTCAGGCTTAGAAGACGACAGGAGTCACGTATAGTATACTGAGTTCAAACGTCTTCACTCACTTAGATCATGTGACCACCGACTTGCGCGGAGGTCGAAAATGAAAAATACAACAAGTTCAAGTTTGGTAGTCACAATAACTTGACATGCGACTGGCAGCAGGGGCTCTTGAACCTTTAACCATTCTTCAGTGTTCGCAGATTGGCAGTGGTCATGCATCCTTTTACTAAGAACGAGTATAACAAGTTTAATGCTCCTATATGTCCTCCAAGCGCTCTTATGATGTCGGTCACGATGCGATGTGGCTAAACACGACGCCAATATACTATTGACTCGGAAGTGTGTAGCTTGGAACGTTCTACTTCTCGATTCACGCTACGCTCGTTATCTTTCTTCTTACAGGTATAATAGTTATGGATCTATTGCGACTTATACAGTGCGCCATCTACCATCTTCCAATGAATTGGTAATTATCCGCAGTGCTGTATCTTAGTTCTCTCTGACACTTCTGTTTATAGTTCACGATAGGAACAAGTCGGTGATTGTTATCGATAGTTGCCATACTTGAGAATCCGCGAATGGGCTCCAAATTTATCTGTAGAGACCTCAAACAGTGGATCGACTGGCGTATGCGCTGGAACAGAACTTGAGCTAAGCACTTGGACAACCATCTTACCGTCATCTGACACCTTGCTATTTATTTCCCTACATCCCGAATCGGGAGTGTCGCTTTTTCCTTTCGACAGTGGAGAAAGTGTATGAAGTCTTGACTGGTGCCGATCTAGCCCTTGGGCCTTATTGGCGGACACTTACTAGTCGTTTATCATAGTTCATGTCAGGGCTTGCTCATTCGGCTCCATCCGTTGATGCTATAGTTCTCTAAGCCAAGCGGTGGTCATCGATCTGGACCACCCTCATAGAATGGAAATTAGGCGCTATCATCGTACATGTGAATTTCAAGATCTCATTCACACGGGAAGACGAAGGGTGCCCGCACGATTCAACGTGTATGTGAGATCCGATCAGCACTTGTTAGATTGAACGATTCACCTCATTCCCGCCTTCGTATTTATGTTCAGTTATGACTCCGCTTCCGTCGCATCTAGTTCATGCATGCACCTGCCTCTGGTAGCGTGTTCAAGGTGCCCACAACCCTAGGCATTATGGTATACAAAGGATTGCTTATGGTATGCGGGGATTGAAATTTTGGCCATGGTTTCAACGCTGCGGTATGGTGGCCAAGTCCTCGTTTCACATGATTCCCTTCACCGTTACATTGATAGCGACGGAGAAGCTGAATACAACAGTGAAGAAGAAGAAAGTTCTGATGATGACAGCGCCTACAGTGGTTTAAATGATTTACAAGCTGATTGCAAGGATACGAGCGAGCCGTCTTCCGAGGTCGACGAAGATGACGGTGACGATGACGACAGTGATGAAGATGACAGTGATGAAGACAATAATCCTGAAGATGATAGTGATGAAGACAATAATCCTGAAGATGATAGTGATGACGATGACGATGACGGTTCTGACGATAGCTCCTCGAATATCTATAATCAAGATTCGCTTGTTCGTCATGATGCTGAAGAGGAACTTGGGGACGACGACGATTCTGAGGAGGATCATTCGGAGGATGATGATAACGTTCAAGAATCCGATTCAGATGACGACGACGGTTCTCCCACAGCAGCAACGTCCCGCTCTAGTCAAGAATTATGTGTCGTACGTATATAATGTCATTGTACATCAATATTTCCACTGATTATTTGGTAGGTTTGCGAGAGCAGGCCAAAATACAACGACGGTAACCGAACGCATCCTTTTTGTGGAAGAACGTGTGCATCTCGTGCAACGGATATGTGCAATGTGGGCATCGTCACATATAACCATATATGTTTTATTTGACTAAACACTGTTCTTCGTTTGAATAGTACTGCGGCCTGAAACCGAAGTATACTGAAGGGTCAAAAACGCACCCTTATTGCGGCAGGACTTGTGCAGGGAAGGCTCAGATGGAGGGCAGAGCATCGAGTAACTATTTTATACGATATTTTATATTGATTCTGATGTATCTATCTAACATCTGTTCTTCAGAGCCGTGTGCTGGCGCTGGCGACAGATCATCCGCATCTCTTTCCCAAAAAGGCCAAAGAGGAAATCAATCACTCTCGGTTGCCAATTCTTGTGATGTCTGCACGCTCTTCTCTGATATTGGAAGTGGCTAATAGCTTGTATTAACGTCACAGTGGTGCCATATGCAGAACAAGTGCACAGATAAAATAACAAATTCACCTTATTGTGGCCAAACTTGTGCCCGTAAGGCAAAAGGTGCTATGGGTATCACAGGTAAAAGCTTGAACACCACCTTGTATGTTGTACTCAATATCTCGCTACACATTATTAGATCCTACGATATGCATCATTCCTAAATGTCCTAAGGATGTGTGGTCTCCTTCAAGTGGTCCGAAGAGCAAATACTGCGGTAGCGCACATAGAAAGTAAGTCTCTTCCTCACGGTAATTATCCCTTTCTAAGGATTAGAAAATAGTCTAGGCAAGGTTGCTTGTCTATGGTGCCGCCAGAAGGAGAAAAGCGGACATCATCATTTCTGTTCAAAGACCTGTGCAGGAGAGGCCGAAGCCCTTGCTCCATTCCTGATCGAAGTATACCCCGGTCATGAAATATTTGACAGCGGTAAGAATATATATATTTATCATATGCAAAGAAGGTTTATACCATCGTATTTTCAGTTGCACACCAGTTTAATACGAAGTGGCTGCACCCGCCCTCCCCGGGAAAGAAGAATGGTACAGCAAGGAAAGTTTACAAGATTGTCGAGAAACCATCATTTAGAGAAGAATATGACCAATATCGGTATGCGAGCGTCTCATATCCACGATATGCCAAGGAGCTTATCATGAATATGATGCATAGAGCTTTTCTCGAGCAGCGCGATCATTTCAAAGGAAGGAAGGGTATGACTGCGGGAAACGAACGTCGTCGTTGGCATGGAACCACTAGGTATGAACCTTTTCACCCTACAGTGTTACTCCGGGATGATTACTTGTATTAGGAATTGTAATATTGGAGACCAGGACCAACTTAAGTTGTGTAACCTTGCAGTTTGTCCGGTTTGCAATATCATTAGGACCTCCTTCGATTTGAAGTACTTCACGAAGTGGGGAAGGTGACTGATCTATCCCATTCATTGTGGCTTGACTTCATCTATCTTTGCGTCTATCACGACAGGTTTGGCCGTGGTATTTACACCTCCGCAACATCATCCAAGTAATCTACTGTTTCTTGCAACACCTAATGATACTATGGCTGACCATTCTGAACCAGGTCGAACGACTATATCAACAACGGTGTAACTCACCCATATAAAGCTATTTTTTTGGCACATGTATCTGTAGGGAGGGCGTCAATACAGTACAATGATAACGCCAATCTCACCCAACCTCCAAACGGGTATGATTCTGTAGGTCATTTCCATGATTCGTTTTTGGTTGTATGTAGCTCACCCTGTTTTTTTATGTCTCCAGGTCATCGGAGAGCCCAAGCAGGGTGGCTCACTGAACTATGACGAATTAATTGTGTACAGGAATGATGCTATCCGGCCATCTTACCTTGTGATGTATGATCAGTGAGGTTTCTATCCTGATAGTATGAGCAATTGTATTCTATGTAAGCTTCAGTACAACTAAACTTCAAATCGTACTCCTCCATTGTAGCTTCTCCTTTCCTCTCATTGGGATCGTTGTTTGGGGAGACTATGTAGTTTCACGTTTTAAGGTCTGAACGACTTGATTCGATACATGGTAGAAATTTCTACAAGATTAACCTTTTTGATATCCCGTTCATTCTGATTCACTGTCTATAGCACAGATGCTGTTTGTTGATCGATTGGAAGGACTAAAGTTGATTTAATGCGGTTAGTCATGTCATGCGAGAAACATACTCCTCTCGTGGTAATATCTTACTCGTCTAGGTGACAACTTATGTTCATAAATTTAGTCACTTTCGTGTATACATTTTGCGTAAAATACACTTGACTAAGTCAGGTGAAGTGGTACCAGTACAGACCGACAATCTATATATATGTGCTAGTAGATATTCCAGGAAATTTTTCATTACAACAAAAATGGATCTTTCTGAGTAGCCGCTTAGGCAGCGTACATGACCAAGTAAGATGGTCTGACGGAATCATTACTGTAGACTATCAATTCGTCGTCCCCTCCCCAGGTATTGGCGGTAGCCACAACCTAGTATCCAATTAGTCAGACTACACTCGATATTTGCAGCCACAGTCAAGGAGGACTCACAGAATCATATCCCGCGGGTGCAGCTGTCAAACCAGTATTCGATGTTCCATCCTTGAGACACCTTCCTACAACGACTTTATTAAGAAGCAGTGCCTTCACAGGCGAAGCTTGAGTGTTGCGGGAGTATCCATTCGACCTGTTAGTAAATCTGTTCAGCAACGAACGCCAATCCACACTGTTTATGAATATATACGTACGTAGCAGAAGTAGATGATGTATAGATGCCTGCGCCAAACCTTTGAAGTTGACATTTACAATCAATATCCAAAACAGACAGTTAACCATAGCAAAACGCAAGTACCTAAGGGTGGCGTAGTTCTTGCCAGCCGCACTAAGATTGAAGGATGTCTTCATGATGGTACAAAGCCTACATGTTCCAGAGCCACAGAGCTGGTCGTGGCCTGGCTCTCCAACGTGACATTCCCGGACGGTACCATGCCAGCGCCTGCATTCGTTGCCTGCGGACCGCCCCTTTGCAGCGAAGTTACCTCGTGCTTCAACCGATGCACTGCTCACAAGTGTATACAATCATTAAAGGGTATTTTGCCATAACAAGGAGAGGATATCTCGTACCGGTACTTGTCATAGCTGGCTCGAGAGGTAGCTGATTCAACGATTTTATATATATACTTCACTTCTGGAGGTGGAGACGAAGGGTTTCTCCACGAAGCTTTAAATTGCGCTTCAACTTTGTCGTATCAGCATATCCGTTTAATGACATATATTATTAAAGAAATAAACTTACCATCTTTGAACGTTGCATGAACATTGGTAACTTCTAGCAACAACGTAGCCTGACTTTCAGCCTTGGCGCCACACGTCCTTCCGCACCAGGGATGGTGACCATTCCTGGGAGCCTTACGGCACATGAGGCAAGCATTCTTTGCCAATCTACGAGATAGATAGCGTGATTGGGACAATGTTTTCGGGGTTGAATTTGATGATTTTACACATACTCTCTGTGGGCCACTCCACAATAAAGGCTCGTCTTCCCAGTCGCGTCGACGAAGGGCGCTTTGGGACACCCTGGAATAGCACAACCTCCAGCTTGAGAGGGGTGTACTCCACCCTTAACCTTAGCTTTTCCAGCACACGTCTTTCCGCAGTAGGGATGTGTCTTCCCCCCTTGCACAAACTTCGGCTTTGAATGACAGAACTATAAATCGAGTAAGTCTCCTCCAGTGATAGAACGAAACGGCTAGACCGCAAGGCATACATCACAAGTCGCAGAACCCATGAACGATAGAGTGTCGAGAAGTCGAGAACTGCGAAGGGTCTGTGGATTTTTTCGCACTTAGTTTTTGCTGAATACTTTGTGTCAGAGACACAATGTTACGTGTCGATATTATAACCTTGACCTTGCTCGAATGGCATGTCCGAATACTTATCTGCAAACCTGCAGGTCACGATTCAGTATTAGTACCATGCTAAATCCTCGTGGTGCAACCTGCTGCAAACCTCGAGGACACCCACAGTATAAACGAGACAGGGGAGAAGTGCCTGGCGCCCATAAATGATTCGCAGTCCATCGTCAATGTGATATGTGATCTGGAAATAATAGTCTCAATTCCAAGTCTATCAGAAATAGTGCACTACCCGATTTGATTGCTGGACTTATGACCATGTTGTTGAACACCGTGATCACGACACCACAATGAATAAATATAGTAAAGCGACGAACTTTCGATTGGGTCCAAGCCAATCTGATTTAGGGACTAGATGACTATCTTCCAATTAATGTTTGTGATGCGAGTCGCTGCGTCTGAAGGCCTATGAAGAGTTTTCACCTGAACTATAGTAAGTAGAGGCCATATTCACATGATTATCTAGTGGGAACGTATCATGACATCGAGTCATTGATATATTGACTTGGAGAACAAACGAGTAGCAACTGAGAGACGTCAAGGCTTATACATGACAAGAAATGATGGCTTAACAGCATCGTCGTCGTACACGATGAGTTCATCACCACCAGCAAATAATATTGCGGGAGCAACCACCTGTGAACAAGTAGGATGAATAAACTCGCCCGTAGCTGGATAGCAGCAGTGATTATTCACCGAGTCGTATCCTGCAGGCGCTGCTTTCAATAATGGGTTGAACGTGGGATTCTTGTGGCACTTTCCAACGACGACTTTATTCAGAAGCAGAGCTTTCACAGGAGATGTTTGGGTATTGCGAGAGTACCCATTGGATCTGTATCAGAGACTGCTTAGCAATAGCTTTACACAAAAAAATCGTTGGCATACGTGGCGGAATCAGAGCTCGTGTAAATACCAGGACCAAATCTTGATGAAATGGGTCTCTTAGAGAGAATACGATCGTCGAAGTAAAAGTACGTTACCTGAGCAGTGCAAAGTTTTTACCAGCCGTGCTTAAATGGAAGGACGTCTTCATAATGGTGCAAAGCCTGCATGTCGGGGATCCACAGAGCTGGTCGTGGCCTGGCTCTCCAACGTGACATTCCCGGACGGTACCATGCCAGCGCCTGCATTCGTTGCCTGCGGAAAGCCCTTTCGCCGTGAAATTGCCTCGTGCCTCGACCGATGCTCTGACCACAATATATCAGTAAACATCTAAAGTGCAATGATAATAAAATAAAACACATACCGATACTTGTCGTAGTTAGCGCGAGAAGAAGGCGACCACACAATTTTGTATATATACTTCACTTCTGGGGGCGAACATAAAGGGAGTTTCCACGACGTTTTGAATTGTGCCTCAACTTAGCGATAATAAGTATACCGTGGTAAAATGATAGCTATAAGACAACGACTTACCGTCTTGGAACATAACGTGGCCCTTGGGTACCTTCAACAAAGGCGTAGCCTGACTTTCGGCTTTGGCACCACATGTTTTTCCACACCATGGATAATGGCCATGTCTGGGAGCCTTGTGGCATACAAGGCATGCATTCTTCGCAAGCCTACAGATGAATAGGACAAAGTGAGAAAAACTTCAGTTTGAAACTTTAGCCCTTTACTTACTCTGCGTGCGATCGCCCACAGTAGAGACCTGCCTTACCGGTCGCATCTACGAAGGGCGCTTTGGGACACCCTGGAACCGCGCAACCGCCAGACGGAGCTGCATGGCCCTGTACCTGTGCCCCCCTGGCTTTAGCCCTTGAGGCACATGCCTTCCCGCAATACGGATACGTTTTTCCCCCATCCACAAACTTTGGGTTCACATGGCATAACTATATGGTCAAGTAGATCAGTGATTCCATACGCTGACATATTTTTTGACAAACATACATCACACACACCGGCACCCATAGTTGACAAAATATGAGACGTTAAGATACTGAGTTTGAGAAAAGTGTGTGAATTTTATCTTCCAGAATTCGCTTTTGAAGTATTGAAGGGGAAATAACTGATGCCAAGAGGCGAGACGAAACATGGCCTCGCTCTAGGAGCATGTTCAAGACCCTTGGGGAAATTGAAGTTCTATCAGTTGAAGTCACATTGACTGTTGGCGCCATAACCTGGCAGCTTGCTTCACTAGCGCGGAGGCTTATGAGGTGACTGATGGAAGGGAAAGGGTGATCTTCTTAGACGATCAGGCCTTAATGTCGATGAAACAACGTGTAACACACGACTGGGATGATGATCTGATGATAACAAATATATATTTGAGTATGTCTAAAAACGGTTTCACCCAGTTTACGTGGACGTAACACTTACAATCACATGGACACCACGATACACATAACGGACCAATCCGATGAACACAGTGTCAAGAGTTAAACCAAAATAGCAAAATGCGAAAAGAGTTTTAGTGACTAATTCGCCCTTCCATGAATGACTTTATCTGGTTTAAACCAAATTCATAGTTTCAGGGCCTGAGTTCCAAGTCAATTACGCATTCAGTTAGAGATATACAGACAAGATGCCCTAGGGTTGATACACGACGAGGAAAGACGGCCTCACTGCATCATTATCATACACAATGAGCTCATCTGCCGCAACCTGACTTCCAGGAGCTACAACCTGCAGATTTTTTTCAATGAGAATATCCACATACACCAAGTATAATCAATTACTTACCGAGTCATATCCCGCAGGTGCAGCGTTTAACGTTGGGCTGAGCCCCGGATTTTTGTGGCACTTCCCCACCACAACTTTGTTCAACAGTATTGCTTTCACGGGAGATGCGTGAGCGTTGGATGCATAGCCATCCGACCTACAGACTCATCAGAAAAAGAAGCTTGGAGTGCAGTTATTCTTCTCACTTTGAAGACGTGGAAGAAGTGTAGATTCCATTTCCAAATCTATGTAGATCTTCTTAGATAAATGCTCAATCGGAAACTGTAAAGAGCGATCCTACCTTCCACCGCGTGACATTGCGAGGTTGAAAGAAGATTTGATGATACTGCATAGTGCACATGTGGTGGAGGCACAAAAAGTCGTGTTACCTGGCTCTCCAAGCTGACACTCCCGTCTCGTCCCATGCCACCGACGACACTCATTTCCGGCTGTGAGTTTATGCTTTGTAAATTGCCCTCGCGCCTCAACGGTAGCACTAATTTGGGAATGTGAGGGAGCCTGAAAACCCATGTCACGGCGGCTCAAGGATGATGGACTAACCGATAATGGTTGTATTTAGCTGTCCGAGATGCGGGCTCAACAATTTTATAGACATATTTGACAGACGGTGGAGTACGGCCAGGCATCCTCCAGGTATCTTTGAACTGGTGTTCCACTGCCCATGACTTTAGTTCCTCTAATCCAATGTCAGGTCTCGTGCTAAACTCACCACTTTTGAAAGTGTCATGGCCTTGCGGGACTTCGAGAAGACAGATCGCTTTACTCTCGGCTTGAGCAGCACATTTGTTGGAGCAAAAATGAGACGGTCCGTGTTTTGGCGCTTTGCGGCACATCAGACATATCGTAGCTAAGACATGCGATCAGATCACGTTGAAGAAGAAGGCCACAAAACTTTTACCGCTATTGACATGGTGAGTATTGTTGTGTCCATTATGCCCACCATGCCCACCATGTCCACCAGCCTGATGCTTGTGAGCCTGAGCGCTTGCAGCACATTTTTTTCCACAATATTGATGTACGTGTGTCCCCTCAACGTGTTTCGGTTTCGCATGACAATTCTAATGAATTCATGAAAAGTGAGGTGATACATTGAACGAGGGTAGACTTCGTACATCACAAAGACCAGGTCCCATAGCGTGAGCTGAGTTGATGTGAAGGTGATGAGTGATGAGACGAAATGAGACTCGGATTGAGGAAGAGCGATGAGCAGAAGACAAGTAATATACCCCTGTCGCCAAATTTTAATGTGCCAAACTGCGACTATATCACTCAAATCACAAGGTCATTGTAGTCCAAGAAAGGTTTATGTCCTGCTTGTACTACAGAGTGCGCTACGAATAGAAGTCGACGGTTCCTGAATGGAAGAATGACAGTTGTAGAGCCCAAAGGGGCAGATAAGCCATGTAGTCAGGGTATTGCAGCGGCGTTCTCGATTGCCTGGAGGCTTATTATCAATATCGATAAACGCCATTTGGCATCTACAGCTCGGGTGGGTTTAGGTTCGAACGTGAAGTAGCGGCTATCGAGTTCCGCAGTTGTACAGGTCGACACGCCGCAATATTGATAGTCCAATGGTTGGGGAACATACCGACATAAAAGGCAACCTATTTTTTCTGCGCATTGTACACGCCTAAACCATGCGGCGAATACGAATCGGGGCGTCAGATTGGGCAATTTAAAGCTGAGGCATTTTCTCTCAGCTACATTCAGATCAAAAGGGCCGCAATTTTCATGGGAGTCTCCAAATATACACAGATATCATGGAGAATGAACCGAGAAATGCTCTGTCACCGGTTTACCGTCAGAAAATAAATGTAGGACTGAGGAAAGGGTCTTCGGGAACTGCCGACACCGGTCTGGCAAAAGATATGCACTGCGGTGACTCGGAGTACTAGTAGCAGTGTCTTTAAGCTTTCATCATGAACTATATCCATAATGCACTCTGAAACGGAGAGCAGCGTGTAAAAGCATTGAGGCCAAGAAAGGTACTTGGATTTTTCTTATTCGCCAGTGCAAATTGTCATGATAAGTGATGCCAGCGAATTTCCAGTGGATGATTTTTAATTCGCATCACAAACTAGTGTACCAATTGCAGGTACCATTGGGCGGACGACGAAGGTGAAAGGTGATTGTATACTAGCTCCAATTCCTGTTTTGTCTTGGAAGTACACAGGATGTGACAAGTACAAATTTCAGGACTGGACGTATCTTGTGGTCTTGGCCAATACTAGTAAGCCGTTGTTCCTCAGGGGGAACGATGGTAGATTCGTGAGTCAAGTTACTGGCGACATTTGACGTGGTAACATGTCAAGTCGTTCGTAGCTCGCCAACTGATCCACCTCACCCGATGGCACGAATTACAGTTCCCTATCCAGTTAACCTAACTCAAGGCTATCGTCAAGGTAGTACAGCAATACACAGCAATTTGGCAACAATGTTAAGGCTCGCGGGTCATTATCCGAAGCATAGCAAAGAAATGTGGACATTGCTGTGTACTTGCTCGTAGCCGACGTGCTATATCCTTGTCTCGCCTAATACGTCGGTCTATATCTCCTAATCGCATCAGACGATATCACTGGATGTACCCAGTAACCCAAGTTCTGGAAAGATCGAACGCGAAGGCATCGCCGTGATTTTGGTTGATTATCTACAGTGATCATGGTGCATGATATTGATAACGTCCGCCATGCAAGCAGTACAATGGCAATACATAATCCAAAATGGAGCGAGATACAAAACGAAGGTGCGTGTACATGGCAACAAGTAAACATCCTAAACCAGAGGGGTGTACTACCGAGTGCTATAAAATAAAATGGAAGCTGTCCTCTATAATTATTGTAACAAGGGATAAACTTGAAATAAGCCATTACTAGTTCTGAGATATAGCAATAATCTAGATCCGACTGCAACTTACTGCCGCGGGTGGATAGTTTTGACTTTTATAAAGACTTCTACGGCGTCGGGAGAGGGAGGGAGGAACTGCGGCTAATAGCAGTGTGGTTGGTCAATAGCTGTCCGACGATACGGTCGACGATCCAGATCGTCCTGATGCTGTTCTCCACGCCGCCTGTTTTGCCCGGATACCCTGCAGCAAGTCATACAATAGCTGGCGGACATCGGGCATATATTCTGCAAGTGCTTGTGGAGATGGATCCTCGCCAAGACAGTCCTCAAGAACATTTCGTAGACGAGATGGGACTTGGCTGATGTCACTTTGGTTAGTAAACAGAGACATTAGCTTGACCCATTGGAGGAATATCAAGAAATACGCACCTGGTGTCTATGTTATAGTAGGTGAACGCTTCTACAGTTGCGTTAAACTGTGCACCGAATTGGACATAACAGTCGCTAACTTGGTCTTCTGATGCCTGATGAGCGCCCCATCGCTGCAAGGATTCTTGGATCTGCTTCGTGGAAACTAAAAGATTTTGTACAGCGGCCGCAACATCCGGTCGATACTGGCGTAGGAGGCAAGAAAGGCAAAGAAAGAGATAGCAGAATGAGGATACAGTGGGAAAATGCAAAACAAAGAGTGGCTGACCCCGAGGCTGTGTTGGCGCACGCCGTTTGTGTACAGATATCCGGAGCGTGATTGCATTATAGATGGTGTTGAGGGATATAGAATACGATAGAGAACGATATATACAGAGGAGATGGAGAACTAGGAGAACGGTGTATGATACAGGAGAGAAATGAGTATTATAGAGATCGAGTCAAGCCCAGCAGTCCCGTTTTATAGCCCAGAGCATAGCATAAATCGACGTCAATGATCAGCGTATGGCTCTCACAGCATTTGTCAATGCCTCGAAGAAATCCGTTGAAACTGATACACAACCTGCGTCGTGATGCTAGATCGCGGCAACCATCGAAAGAATGCAGAGCCTTTGCCCGTGTGGCGAAGTTATGTAATAGTAAAGTGTCGTTTGCTGTGAATCCAAGGAACGAAAGAAGTCAGGTGAGAGTATAGTGAGAATGCAGTCAATATGGCTCCCAAATTTGCAGCAGAGCACTCGTCGCTCCGGATGAGTTGAGATAGGTAGGTGGTACCACTAGAAGGAAGTATCCAGGATATAGATCAAAGTAACAATGCACCAGCCGTTTATCACCATACTAGGTTGAGCCGCATCATCAATACCGATTCAGAATTGGATTTAATTCAGTGGTCGCGACCAAATACAGTTGTCCCCACGGAAGCAGAGGTACTTCGGCTACAGGTACCTTTTCCTCGGATCTGCCGCCTTCACATCTTTAATTATCTCATTTATTTCTGTCCTGAATTCATCCTGGTTATAGGTATATAACAGATAGTCAAAGTTGCCCAACCAATCGGATGTGTTTCAAAATACTAACATTTTTGTGATATTCATCAAGTAGGGGGGTCACTTGTCGCCATACCCAGTTAAAGTCGCTCAACATTTTGTCTTGCTGCGAGCGTGAATCTAGTGCAAGAAATCTGGCAACGCGTAGTTGGATATCCCTATCGCGAATCATGTGATATTCCTGGATAGATGATGGGAAATATGCATCTCGCCGTTGTTCCATTTCGGATTTACGTTTCAACAACGGTAACAAAGTTTGAAGATGGGCGAAGCGAATGTGATCGAGGGCGTCATCCCAATCGTCCTCCAAGGCTTTTGATCGTCGACCTCTCTCGTGAAGATCCTGTGTGTCGTGTGTTAGCTTGAAAATGTTGCATTTGGGCGATATACACCCACCATCAATGCAGTATGGGTTTCCACTATGTCGCGTTCTTCCTCATGTGGCTCAGGGAACTGGGTAAAGTCTATTGCTGAATATCTGTCAATAGCACCTTGACGATGTTGTTCGCCTTGTAAAGCAAAAAGTTTCTCTAGATCACGTATGTGTTGCTTTTTGAGCTCCGTGGTCCGTTCGTTCACGGCTGACAGCGTCTCCACAGGAGATCGGACTTCTTTCATGATGGTATGAATGCTAGTGTGACAATCGAACCTGATTTCTTGATATGCTACGGGCATCGTATTCAGAGTACGTACGACGGCACGAATGAACCTTTTTCCGAGAGCACAAATTGAGCAAGTCGGTGTCGTCGCATGGTTAGCGCATCTGGCTCATCTTCGCTGCGAGGTGGTTTCCAGCCGCTATCTGCCCCGGGCCAATCTCTGAATCCTTTTTTGCCCTCGTACACATCTCTGGGCATGCGACGAGTGCCTGGTTTGGACATATTTTATGGTTCTACTTCTCAGATGATATCAAGCTATGAGCAGTGGCGTGAAGGTAAAGAAAGGGGAAAGAGCCAAAGAATTTTGCAAGCATGTTAGGGTAACCCTAACCCAAAAAATTACACCTCACTGCGCATCCAGACGCGTTTCTCCGTTGTTACTTTGCCTTGCGTATACAACGCGCTCTGATCCATTCATATACAGACAAACATTCGAATCTGTATTGCTTTTGATACTTTTTTGTATAGCTGATGTTGCGTTGGATCACATAGAACTGATATAAAAGCTATCCAGCTTGCTTTCCTTGGACTTGTTGCACCACTGCATTCTATATTGCGATGGCTACCAAACGCGAAGGTTTATTCCCTCCATCGTCTATTGGCCGTATACAAGGAGCGAACATCAAGCGAGTCAGCTCATTTGAGACGCTTTCTGCCCATCCGCTACTGTCTCCCACGTCCTCATCAACTTCTCTTATTTCTCCTCCGCCAGAACAGAACATCAATGCTGCCCCAACGACAGCGGCAGCAAAATACGTTCCTTATACCCCTCGACAACGAGTGGTGACCACATCTGCAACCACAGGAACGACTCTGCATCCATCTGTGTCTGTGTCCCCTCAACAGCCTCAAGGCGGTGCCACAAGCAAGCTGCAGCTCATGAATCTCAAAGCTGCTGCACAGGGCTTGGGTCTCGACATAGGAAGTGTTGGATGGGCTATCTTAGAGAAGCTAACTACCGAAGGCGAGGTTTCTGATGACTGGAGCGAAGTTTGGAATATCTTAACCAAGGGAAAGGTATTGTGCGCCCTAGGCTCAGTGCTGGTGTCAGTAGTTCTCATCATCTTTATCTGTTTCAGGCTTCGTTACTTTTACCTCTGGAGAAGGCCTCTTCTCATGAGAAAATCACCGTTGAGTTCGTTCAGGATCACGTCGTACTCTGCGACACTTCATCTAGGGATGATGTCCCATTCGTGACACTATCTGGACTGAGAGGAGTTCTCGTAAAGTTGGTTCCATCTTTTGTTCTGGCATTGCGTAGCTGACGTATCATCAGTGAGGTCCTTACATTTCGGTCTGCACTTCTTCCATCAAGCAAACCGTTTCAGGACCTGCTTGCGCTCTCTTCGCGAACATCCACCTTGGTTTCCCTTCCTCCCCTTCCCTCGTGGTCCTCCTCTCCTACTCCCTATCCATCTTTCTCTGTACCCGCTTTCAACGATGCTCTACCTTTACCACCACGTCCATTTGTCCTAAATAAACCACCGCTTCCTCCTCGCCCCATTGCTCGGCCATCTTCAGCACAAGGCACCTCACGAATATCCAACCCGTTTGCATCTCTTTTTGGCCAAAAACCATCCACCCCACCTACTGCGACGGTTCCTCTGCCAACCCAGTCTGAGCCAGAACTTGTCGTTGAGCTTTCCGCTTTTAGTATAGACAGAAGTATCGTATCAAGGGATGTTCGCAGAGATATCGTCGATGCTCTCAGCTCTGAGATGCATGAAGCTTTTATGGGTCTTCCAACGTGGGTAGTGGATCGGGTCCAATCTTTTACAACGTTTTTGCATCCTTTGGTGAAAGCGTCCAAGAAAACTTTGCAAGACATAGGTTCCAGCCCGGCAAAAATGCCATACATTATTAATCCTCTGACGGAGTCTCCAGAGGAAATTTCAGAGAAGCTTCAGGAATTTTATTCCACTTTGGAACAAGATTTGTGGACAGGTCAGACTTCATTACGGCGAAAAGAGGGCCCATCTGTGGAGTTTGGGGACGACAAAGAACGTCAAGACAAATTTAAGGCCGAGGACGACCTGAGAATACGAGAAATTCTTGAATTAGTAGAGTGCACAATTTGCACCCTTTTTTACGACAGGTGTGTTGTCTAAATGTCCCTATAGCGGTATGATTTTACAAAACATTGGTTGTCTTATAGGCTATTCTTGCCATTTACCTCGGACGATGCTTCTCACGATGAGGCCCTCTCGAGCCGAATAGCTGCTATGAACATGGTTGACCTTGGTCTCGAACATCTAGACGTAGACACTGGTATGATTGGTCCAGAGCTAGATGTCGTGGTGAAGGCATGCGGTGAAAGTATGTATCATCTCAATCAGATCTCGGACTATCCAGTGATCTAAATTTTGCGGCAGTGCTCAATCAGCTCGATGTGGCTTGTCGATCTCCTAGTGACAAAGCTGCAGTCCTGGTTGCCGCTCATAAAGTCGTTGTTGGTGCGTCGTAGATTCCGTTCCTTGTTATCTTTTGCTTATGACCCGGGGAAGATGGCCTGTCGAAACTACCACCTGTGAAACTAAAAGCTGACCAAGACGCAGAGGAAAACCAAATTGCTTTCACAAAGACAGTCCGCGACGAGCATGTTGTCTCGACTCCACCTCTTGGTCCGATGGAAGGCGTTGACGTGCCTCTGCTGGCCTCTTCAGATACATTAACTGCCTCCCCCGTTTCAACACCAGTTTTAATGGTACCTGATCCTCATACTGGCCCACCAACCTCTGAGTCACATATCATATCTCCGGAGGTATCTCATCACTCGAGGTCGAATTCGCCTCGTCTCATGGTTTCTCCGCCGTCAGAGAGCACACCCGTGTCAGGGGACGTTCTTCTCCCACTTATCATATTTTCCGTAGTCAAGTCAAACCCTCCTCATCTCGTCTCCCACCTGCTCTTCACGCAACGCTACAGGAACCAGTCCTTTGGTGGTGAAGAGAGCTATTGTTTGATAAACCTTATGGCTGTCGCTGAATTCCTTGAGAACGTCGACTTAGGCGCTTTAGGTTTAGGCGAGAGCGAAAAAGAAGTTATCAGGTTGGTTATACGTATCTATTAGATTTGATATGAGCTCATATATGTTCAGTACCGCTGACCTGACGCCAATCCCCATCAACCGTTCGCCATTGACTCCAGAATCACCCGCGCTAACCCAAGAGGGATTACCTGGAAGTTTCCGAGGTCGTGTAGAGCAACAAGTAGATGCCATCGCAGGTTCCGCCAATAAAGTCATATCTGGAGTTGTCGATTCCTCCTTTGGCGTACTGAGATCATTATCATTCCTTCCGGGTCATAATGATAATCCAGTGACGCCTGCCAAGTCGACCGAATCTGCGCCGCCTTGGAATGTTCGCCCAGGTCTTGGTCTCCTTCGTCGTGAGGCTGGATTCTCAATAGCTAGTTTGACGGCATCGCTTCCCGGTACGAGAGAGAAAGCAAAGTCTGCTAAAGATGCCGAAGAGGCGGGACAGCAGCTAGTCCCCGTCTCCTCTCGCCCTAGCTCTGTGAAGTCTGTGTATCTCAACGACGAGGACGGACCTTATTTATCAGAGAAGGCGGAAGATGAATCAGAGGAAAACGAAGAGGAAGACGAAGAGGAGGAAGAAGAGGATGAGGAGGAGGAGGAAGAAGTCCATGATGGGAGGAGTATCCGAAGCTTCGAGCGTATGATGAATAGCAGCAAGCCACGTAAACGAAAGCAAGTTAGCGGGAGAAAGAGCTTGACGGATCGGTTGGCTCAAATGTCAGGCCTGTCCAGGCTAGCACAGTCTGAAGCGCACAATAAGGTATGAGTTCGTTTAATCACAATACTATTAGCGATTTCTTATCAGAGCACAGGCATCCTCACCCATATCTCGTCCGTCAACTTTACTCGCTCCTGCGAATCGACACGACACGCCCGCATCGTCTCGCGCGCAGTCTCCTATCTCACTTAGACTGCCTCCACCAAATCGGCGGTTCCTTGATTGCTCAGAGGACGATATCAAAGTCGGCGAAGTCGCAGAACTTCTTCGGGAGTATAAGCATCTGGTGGAAGCCGTGCGCGCTTTGGGAGGTTTTGATGAGTGATAATGTACGTGTAATTTCCCCAACGCCACTACACCAGTTACCATAGTATTCGAAATGTAATGGATCGTGAGCTATTGTCATCATTGTCAGTTTGAAAATGATTTTAATTTTGCTTGTCAAGGCATGAATGGGGGAAAGCTGCATGGGTACCGTGTGTTGATATCGCTCTTTAAGCTGCCTATCTATCGGGCTCATCGCGACGTTGTCTTAATACGTATCTCAAGAGCTCAATTAAGCCCTCCTATGTTCACGTTCACTGGGGGATAAAACAGCCTCTGCAACATTATGATTAAATTAAATACCCGCCTTGGCTCATGTAAACCACATGCCATCTACGGAGGCTTGAGTGAGGGCTTGACATCCATTTGACCTGCGCGAATAAGGTAAGTGACAGAACAGTTGGGTGGATAAGAGAGAAACACTCACATTTTTTTTACCGCTTCGAACCAAACACCCTCGACATCCAGTACATGCGCCTATTCCTAGTCGAAAGGGAAGTCCTCACGCCACACAATTCTTGTGTCAAGATGGTTGCAGAGTGGCCGCCGCAACTTGAAACAGTTGAACATCCCAGCTAAGAAAGCTGCGATGGTGTTACCACGGCTGGATAAATTATTTTTTGCTTTTGTTTTCCAATCTCTTCTTTGAAAGTTCGCGAGCTTTGGCGGATTAGACGTTCCAAACATGCTCTGGCGACTGGCGAGCGGTTGGATCGAAACGTGCTTAAGCTCTATTCCAGTCTTAGGAACAAAGGCCCATCTTCAACTCCATTTTCACAGATTACCGATTGTGATTGTGATCGACAGGATGTAATGCGCCCAGCTGTGGAAGAACCGTACATATCCCCGAAACGTCCAGCCGAAATTCAGTGCGTCTCTTTCTCATGGACCACTGATTTTGCTTCACTCCGGCTCACCATCACCGTGTTTGCGGTTGGAATATTAGGACCGACAACGTAAGGACGTCATCCTCATTTTTTGAAACGCACCGCTTATATTTGGTCCCCTGTATAAAAGGTTCAGGTTTTCAGTATTCTCAACATCAGCTTTCTTCTACTGCTTCCCTCCAGCTTAGTCTAAATCCACCTTATAGAGTCATGTTCAAGTCCATCGTCTCCTTCGCTCTCTTCGCTGGTGCTGCTTTTGCCCAGAACGTTGCAATCGCCAACCCCGCGCAAGGTGCATCGGTGGCTCCAGGCAGCGATTTGATCGTTCAGCTCGAGAGGCCAGTAAGTGAAATCATCTCCATGCTCGCGTCTATTGTCAATGGTGAACCGTTGTCCGTAGAACTCTCAGTCGCCCTCTCAGGAAGTTGCTGTCGTTATTGGCATTCAGTCGTGCTCCAGTCAACCCTGTGCCGCTCCTGCCGATATCTTTGGTCAAATTTTGTACAACGGGGCCTACGACCCTGTGTCCCACGAGCCTCAGTTGCCCAATTACCAAAACATCTCTGTGACGATCCCAGCTTCGTTGCCCAAAGGAACTGCTCAGATCAACGTTCTTCACGTGAATTTGGTTGGCGTGCGTGTTTCTGTCCATTGTGCTGCTTCTGTAGTACCTTGTTTAACACTCTGACAATTTTTCCCTCGCAGGCTGGTCCGAGCCCCGCCCTCCAGACTCTGAACCAGACGATCACGATCACCTAAATCAGGGATACTGGCACGCAACGATTGAAAATAAGAATATGGAGATTGGTGGGGGATTTTCTTGTGATACTGGGCAGTCTGAGAGGATTATCTGAGATTACATTACATGGGATTCTACGCACCTCATTCTAATTTTTTACGTTGATAATATATCGCTCTTTTAGATGATCAAGTTATCAGTATGGTTACTTTGACTATTGCAATCTTTTTGGATCTGGACTTTGAATGGTGGCTCTATCAGATCCACTAGTAGCGGCGACGAGAAAAAGAAGGGATTCTCGTCGCTAAAATGCATAGCCATAAGGACCGGCCAACCATACCAAGTTGTTCGCTGGTTCGTATTAACCGTAAGCACACTCAACTGCAATTATAAAGCGGATTATCTGGGCAATGTCACGATAGTGCTTTCATCGCCTTGGTGGCTACGCAAAACTAGCGCTGAGCTGTGAGAGCCGTTTTCACCAGTATGCAACACAAAAGATTTGAAGTGAAGATTCTCAGTACACTTGCGAGTCCAAGATGATGGCTTCCGAATCCGAGTCGCCGGCGGTAAGACCATATTGATACTCCGCGCATTCTAGTATTAGTATCAGGCGACCTGGAAGGGCTGACTCGTAACACCTGCTTGTAGTGAGAACATTGTCTTTCCAGATTCATTTACATCCTCCTTTCTGATGATAACGCAAATTAAGAGCAAGCCGGAAATGAGGGGTCGACATGTGGCGTAAGCGACAGCCTTTCGGTTCTCCAGTTCTCGGCTCCCCTCTAATAGCACCCCCAAACCTCCACGACGAACGGTATCCACCATGAAACCTATCGCCATAGCCTCCCTCGTCCTCCTCGCGTCCCCCATCCTTTCACAATATCAAGCATCCGTATTCCCCCCGTTCGACGCCCCCAACTACCCCACCACGCTGCTCGTCTGTTCGCAAGAGCTCCAAGCCCGGGGGTACTGGACGCTCAGCCAGCTACCGTCCTACCCCAACGTCAGTGCCGTCGACGCGGACCTTGGTGGGTGCGGAACGTGCTGGGAGCTGTCGTCGAGTGGAGGGGGCGTCGTGGCAGTGGCAGCGGTCGATGGCGTCAGACATTATGGTCTACCCCCCAGTTTCGGTTTGACTTCCGCAGCAAAGGATCAGCTGCTGGGTAGTAACACCGAGGGCCTCAGTCTGATTTTTCCCGTCAGTGCGAAGCAAGTTGCCTCGTCTGTCTGTGGTCTTTAGAAGAGGTGAGCGGCCCTTTGTATGTTCCTGAGGTCGTATATTATGCACGGTTACTGATCAAGATATTACTAGTAGGATTGAGGATTTGGAATCGGAAAATTCTTGAGCAGCTAGGGTGCCCCTCGTGGTCGGGATAATTTGTAACCTTTAATAAACTCTACATTAGATCAGCGTTTATAATAAGTGAAAAAAATGTGAAAGGAGTCAGAGTGTGTATTGGAAAACCGTATAGAATGCAGTGCCGAGTCAAAAACACCTTTGACGGATTTTCTAAGGGAGGTCACCGGTCACTCTGGGATGAAGTCAAGTTTGTGTGCCAGCCACAGCGTCGAGAGAGCGAGGCATAAAATTGTGCTGACTCCTGAATATTTTTTTAATCTCGTCTTATCATATCATACCACGCTGCTGCTCTACGGATATATCTTCCACTCTCGGCACTGTGCGGCTTGAGAATAAAGACTGGATTTCCTCTGGATCTTTCCCCACCTCATCTGACTTCCTCCTCAGATAGCTTAGATCTCAATCGCTCCGACGCCCTACCTAGCTGATTCTTGCCTTTACCGTCCCTGCCAATCCCCCAATATGATAAAATTGGATAATGACCAGACCTGTAATAACCAAGAGTTAGTTACTCTGGCACACACAGAAACACACTATAAGGAAGATGATTAGGGAGTGGTTACCCCTTGAGCTGCAGAGAGTTTGTTGGTTAACAACAGGAGGACTCGCTGAGGAGTCTCCTGGATCTATTGGGGTATATATACTACTACAGAGTTATTTGTACATATGTACTATACAGTTGATAGTGACAGTGGCTGATGATGTCATGGGGCCTAGCCCGCATGGCCAGCTCCACTGTGTGAGAGAGTTGTGTCTATAATAAGAAGAAAGGCAATGTGGCGCGAGAAAGAGGAGTTTTGGACAAAAGGGGAAGTGCCGCGTGGCACCATGTGTGAAAGCTAAAGTACAAGGTTAAAGCGGAGAATAAAAGTAAAGGGAAGGTCTGAAAATTGTGTTATCGTAACACTACCCCCCTTCTAAGGCTCGACTTCCAGGCGAGACCAAATACCGGAGGTAGTGATAAAATTTTCGGGCATAGGTTGAAAAAGAGAAATAAAAAGATTTTCATCCATGCCTCTAAGCTTCCTAGGAGCTGAGGGATTCTTAGAATAAAATTTGCGAACAGCATCGCGGGAATTGTCCAGATAGGCTTCTGGTTCCCACGTTCTGTCCTCGTCTCCATAGCCCTTCCATAGGACTAGGAATTCTAATTTACCACGCTTCAAGCGTGCATCCACTACCTGTTCAACTTTGAACTCACCTTCCTGGGTGACTACAACCAGTCCGGGCTGGTCTACACGCTGTCCCGGCAGCGGCCCTTTGTAGGGTTTCACACGGCTTATATTGACCGTGGGTACTACCCTCATTCGTTTTGGGAGTTCCAGCTCCACCGCGTTGGGTTTGACTTCCTTAATCTGGTAAGGGCCAATCCACTTTTCGGTCAGTTTTCTAGACTGCCGATCTTTTAATTTTAAGTGGTCGGTATCTAACCAGACCAGGTCGCCGACCTTGTAGTCAGGGGCCTTAGAGCATCTACACTCTGCCCTGTCTTTCATCTGCTCTGCAGTTTTAAATAGCGTCTTGCGTGTTTCGTCCAAGACAGCCTTCATGTCCTTGGCCATGTTCCCAGCAGCCTCATTCTTGCTTTTACCAGGTTCTACACCCATTCTGGGGAGGTACGATCTAGTAACCTCGAATGGTGCCTTTTCTGTAGCCGACGACTGTTTGATGTTATATGAGAACTGGGCTATCTTTAGCCATTTGGCCCAATCCGTCTGCCTGTCATTAATAAATATCCAGAGATATTGTTTCAACTCCTGGTTGAGTCTCTCCGTTTGTCCATCAGTTTGCGGATGGAACACCATTGATAATTTAGGTTTGATGCCCAGCATCTTGCATAGTTCTTTCGTAAATTCGCTAGCGAATTGTGGTCCTCTATCGGAGATCACCGTTTCTGGTAACCCATGGATAGACCATATGAAATCTTTAAATAGATCTGCCGTACCTGCAGCGGTAATGGTTTTATTGGTGGGTATGAATACTACTTCTTTGGAGAAGCGATCTACTACCACCATTACTGAATCATACCCTTTTGACTCGGGCAGATCCGTTGTGAAATCAACCGATATATCCTGCCAGGGACCAGCTGGTATTGGATTTGGCATAAGTTTACCGGCTGGCGGTTGATGAGAATTCTTTGCCATGGCACATCTCAGACAGTATTTTACATATTCCTGTACGTCTTTGACCATGCCAGGCCACAGGTAGTTTCTGGAGATCAACTCCAATGTTTGTTGCCACCCAGGGTGCCCAGCCACTGGAGTGTTGTGATGTCTATTAAGAACAAAGCTTGAAGGAAGTGTCTAGCCACTTGCTGAGAGCAATCAGGGACTGGAACTAGAGTCCAATGTGAGTAACTATATTATTAGAGAGTATGACAGGTATACAGTACCTAGAGTCCAATGTGAGTAACTAGAGAATAGGAAGCATTGGACTCTGCAGTACTGTCCGAAGTTTTGTAAACAAAGGTAAACAAAGCAGCCATAAAGGCGAAATAATAGGGAACACAATCAATAGTGAATGATAGAAGAATAGATAGAGAAAGGAATGAAAATATATAGGTAGCACAAAGGTGCAGAATCACCAAAACTAACACTCCCCCCTGATGCTGCACCTCCCAAGCATTAGCTCCCCCCTGATCTAATAAGTCCCATCGTCTTCCTGAACACTTCCACTTTAGGCTTGGCAAGAGCCTTGGTCAACAAGTCTGCAGGCATTTCAGCAGTGGGAACAAAGGTAGGAGCAATCTTCCCAGAGTCAACAACATCTCTCAACCAATGCCATCGCAGATCAAGGTTTTTCATCCGACCATGGTGCTCAGGGTTCTTGGATACAGAGATGGCAGATTGGGTGTCAATATGAAGGGTGGAAGGAGAGGTGATAGGATAGCCCATTTCCTTCAACAAATTTCGCATCCAGCAGATCTCTTTGCCAGCCTCAACAGCAGCAATATATTCTGCTTCAGTGGTGGACAGAGCAACAATGTTCTGAAGCTTGGAGCTCCAGGAGACAGCACCAGATCCCATCTTGACAATATAGGCACCAGTAGAACGACCAGAGTCCTTGTCACCACCATGATCAGCATCAGAGAAAGTGGTGAAGAGTTCAGTGGAATTTGTCACGACTTGAACCAGAAGCGCTAGTCTGAGCGCTAGTTTCCTTTTTTCATTTGCTTTGATATCTAATCACATGACAGATAAGATATGTTAAGCTGCTGCTTTAGCGCGGATAACATAATACATAGTTATATCAGATCACGTGACCATCACGTGACAAGAGTCTAGAACCATTACAAAGAACATCAGTCAGCGCCTCATGGCTGACTTTCAGAAACATATATATAGTAGACCATCATGTACATACTTTCCTCAGTTGTTGATTAATTCTCAATCGCTATTTGTAACGCTACTTGTTGATTTGAATCTTCACCCCTCCGTTAACTCGGTATAGGGGATAAGGGTTTTACACAATCAACAACTGCCACAAGTACCGTTTATGAATATAACAGCAACAATCCTAACCACCATCATCGTCACCGTCATCATTATCTTCCTCATCCTAAACCTGCTCAAACGCTCAAACCAAACTACCACTACCCTCCCACTTCATCACCTACCCACTCGCCCCGACACCATTTTATCATTTTTCCCTGCCAACGTCTCCCCCTCCTCATCCCAAGACTCGTTCGTAACCATCCCCCTGTAAATACATTTTATATCACAATAATCTCTTTGGTGTGGAACCATTGAGATTTTCTCGGTTTTACATAGTTTCATTTTCAATTTCCTCTGACCAGGCCGCGCATTTGCGTCCGCCAGTCGGGAGAAGGACTGAAAGCTTAATAAGCTGGTCACATTGGGACAACCGTTCGGACCCCAATTTATCACTATACCTTTTACATAAAATTCGTAAAATACAAAAATAGTCACCATACATACATTGTCAGTAGTGGGCTGAAGAGGACCACTTTGACTCAAAGAGAACAGATAGACTACTAGGATCTTAGAAAGCGGTGTATCAATCCAGCTTATCACTGGTGAACTCCTTTCTATGCTTAGTAGAGATTTTTACATTTGGATCGGAGAGCAACACATTTACTCTCAAGATTACGTATTCAAAGGGCAATTCCCCTTACCAGAAATAGAACCCATCAGAATCCCATCCCCTTTGATCAAAACCGAAACTCCCCCTCCTCCCCAACTCACATTCAATGTCCAACCTAGAATATCGCGATCTGCCCGAGCCATCCAACAGCACGGACAGCGCATTTACCAGGGAAATGATGGACGCATTACCCAGAATAGACACTCCCCCCCCGAAAGAAGCGCGATTGGAAGCATACGTAAAACAAGAAGTAGAAAAAGCGATAAGACAAACACAAATGCATTACCAATCGCAGCTAGACGAGGCGCTCGAAGAAGTGAGCGTCTTGCAAAGAAAATTAAAGAAACAGACACCGCCACCTCCAGAAAAGGTGGAAAGAAGTAGAACGGCACTGGAGAAACCCGAGAACTTCTCCGGAGATAAGAAAAAGTATAGGGCCTTTAGAGAGTCCTTATTACTACATTTCGAAGACGATGCCGTATATTTCAGAGACGACCAAAAAAAGATAAGCTTTGTGCTATCTTTTATGAAAGAAGGAGAAGCCGCGGCCTTCCGGACCGATTGGCTAGAGAACCAAGTCGACGCCCAACAGCTGGGGCTCGATATTACAAACACATACGGAAGTTGGCCGTATTTTGCTGACAAAATGGAAGAAAGGTTCAAGGACAGCTTTGAAAAAGAAACTGCCAAGAACGAAATATTGACCCTGAGACAGGGCAATGAAACCGCCCAAGCCTTCTTTGAAAGATTTGAGGAAAAGAAAAGATGGGCGGGATATACAAATAGGATAAACGAAGAGTTCCTAATATCTCTACTCAGAAGGAACATGAACAAGCCGCTAGTAGATAGGGTGATCTACGGCGGGCATATTCCCAGAGATTACCAAGAGTGGAAAAGGGAACTTATTAGAATAGACTATATTTGGAGAGAGAGAGAAAAAGAGAAGAAAGGTTCCGATACTGGGAAGAAACCCTATTCGGAACAAAAGAAAG